ATCCCAAAACCTTGCTATCCGACAGGTTTTTAGGAAAAACGAACGGAACCCGTTAGAAACAGCCTTAACATAGCGACAGCCTTGGATTCTGACTCCGACGTGACATTTTATGTCACAAATCAGGATAACGGCGTATTTTCTGACTGAACAATCCCACAGATTGGCTACGTTCACACTGCAGGACTTAATGCTCAGTTTGGATTTTTTTGTGAAATCTGATTTTGTGCGAGTTCGTTCACATTTCCTATTAAATGCGTCTTGTATGTGATCTGTTGTGTGAACTTCATACAACCCAAAAGTGTCCCGCATGCGCAGAAGAGGACACGACGACGTCACACGCAGTGAGTTTGCTCAGTGTTTACGGAAGCAAACATGGATGGTAACAATGAAGTGTATCTTTTACTCGTAGTCCTCATGTGAAGTTTGCTGTAGTGGGTGTTTATTAGTATTCTGGTATACGGTGGGCTCACCAACACAGAGCATGAGTCTGGGGAGGGCCTGTATGTAAATACAGAGGTGAATAGAAGCAAATTAACATACAGTTGCTAATCAGATGACCGGAGATAAGGGGGGGGCAATGAACCACAGGTGATGAAATTGGAGTCTGGTGATCAGACGGGTGGTGGAGTCGGGGTTCTGATTGCATACAGTTGCTAATCAAAGGCAGGAGGTAAGGGGACAATGAACAGCAGGGGGTGGAATCGGGGATCTGTGGCAGGAGGTGGGAAAACACATGACAAAAGGTGATGGGAAAATACATGGCAACAGGGGGTGGAATTGGGGGTCTGTGACCATCAGAATAAAAGAAAATGACTTTCTTCATCAGTGGAAACAGAAATACGACCGGCGGTAACTAAGCCGGCATCAGCAGCCAAGTACTGCCTGTGTGTTCCGACCGCTGCCACCTCGGGGGTGCACTCTGATGGAACGTGCACAAGTGCATCAGTCAACTAGGCGTGAAATCCAGCGATGCGTAGTGTTCTAACAATACACTAGTTATTATAACAACTATAAACAATGAATATTAACAGCAAATGAGCCTTCCAGCATCAAGCCCTCCTTGGAACCTCAACCTCCGTCTTGACAATCCGACAGCCTTGCTATCCGACATAAACGGAGGTTTTACATTTAGTGTTGGATTATCGAGTCACGACTGTATTAAACAGGATTGCTAAAATTCTGCAAAGGTCTGTATCTTTGCCAGATATAGCATCTGATCATATTCCATCAGATCGGATGAAACATTTTTGACTTCTTCTGTTTTAACCAAAAGCCAGAATTCATGTCGATAAAATAAAGGTGACAGAAAGAAGAACTTCCTGTGAAAACAATCAGACATTCACTGTAAAATTTGAGCAACATTCGCATTAGCACGTCAGGCTGGAAATAATAACAGGTTATATTAAAATGACCACTGCTAGAGACATAATGTTGTTATAAGGTGTTTCTGTTGACTCACATTGTAGGTTAGTTATTACTGTGATAGTTAAAATAGTAGGACTTGGTTGCATCAACCTTATTATTAGAAGTGCATTTTTCAGTTATGTTGTTTGAGAATGCATGCTTTCTATCCATCTAAGTCGAAAACCTTATATTAAAACCTTATATTATAAACAATATCAACAAAAGCCTTTGTCGTGAAACTCGTAAACAAAAGAGCGTGTAGGTATTTAAAGCTCATCACTGCCAAATCTAACGTAAAAATGTACTGGCACACTAATCGTGCAGTGGGCAAGTGTGCTAAAAATGGAAAGCAGTTGCCTTTGAGCCAAAAGTAGTGCAAACATCTGCAGTCTCTTCAAGATTAAAAGCCTGCAAAGATGAGAAGGGGATTGATGCAAATAACCTTTCTCGATTGCTACCGAGTCGGATGCTTTGCTTTCTTTCCGACTGGTAATTTGCTGTTGTTCGTCAGATGTTCCCTGCAATTATTATTTCATATTAATGAAGTCAGTTGGCAGACGGAGCATCAAAGCAGACGGATCAAAGGGCAATGAACTCTCTTTCCTCTGGCTGATTACAACTCTAGTCAGGCTGAAATTGGCTAGAACTATGCTGGAAGTAGTGTCACGTGTCTGACATAATAATAGTGGTAACGGTGTGGACTGACCTGCCCCGTGAAGTGCAACAACACAATCGGGAGTGTACAGGAGCTGTCAGTCAGGAACAGTCTGTACACACCCACTCAGCTCCAAAAACACCTTTGATGGTGGACTGTGGGTGTGGAGGTTCCACGTTGGAAGTTATCATTAAACATTCTCCACAATTTTGCAGATATGTTGTACACAGCAGTTAAAAAAACCCAAAAAAACCCTGACATATTTGCTTGGTGGGTGAGTTAAACTACCTTCTGCTGGTCATAAACAATCAGTGAATGTACACTTCTGCGTGATCATGTGGTAATTGTGGTAACGTGTGCATGTGAGCGCTGGGATTTTCCAAAGACATTAGGAAGTGAAAAGGAGGTAAACAGAGGTGTGTTGGACTTGTGTGCTTTGTGCACAAAAGTGGTTGAAGCGGCTATTACACAGTAAAGTTCTGCATAACCTTCTCTCAGTGGCTGGTCATTATGTTTTGTTTTTTTTCACCATTTATCCACCAAATCTGTTCAATGACTGAGCCCGTATGACTTCATGAACATGAAACAGATAAGAATTATAAGAGAACATATTTTGTAGAGCTCTTTCTTGACCAAATGATGTGTCGTGTAAAAGCAACTATATACAGTCGTGACTCGATGATCCAACACTAAATGTAAAACCTTCTTTTATGTCGAATTGTCAAGATGGAGGTTGTGATACAAGGAGGGCTTGATGCTTGAAGGCTCATTTGTTGTTAATATTCATTGTTTATAGTTGTTATAATAACTAGTAGTGCTGGTCCCAATAGCACTTTCTGGTCTCTGGATGTTTGGGCCCAATTAATGATGACTATTTAGGGTGGTTGAGGGGGAAGCTTCCACCCCGGGGGAGCGCTCCGACGGGGTGAAAGTGGCCGGAATGCAGAGGCGGTACTTGGCTGCTGATGCCGGTTTAGTTAGCGGTCACAGTTCTGTTTCCACCATTGGTGGAGGCGGAGGCGGGGGAGTGGCAGATACGCTCCACTGTTACCATCCATGGTTACCTTCGTAAACACTGAGCACGCTCGCTGCGTGTGACGTCGTCGTGTCCTCTTCTGTGCATGCGGGACACATTTGGCTCGTATGAAGTTCACACAGCAGATCACATACAAGTCGCCTTTAATTAGAAATGTGAACAAACTCGCAAAAAAACCCCGGATTTTACAGAAAAATCTGAATTGGGCATTAAGTCCTGCAGTCTGAACATCGCCACTCTGTGGGATTGTTCAGTCAGATAATACGCCGTTGTCCTGATTGGTGACATTAAATGTCATGTTGGGGTCGGAATCCTAGGCTGTCGGTATGTTAAGGCTGTTTTCTATGGATTCCATTCGTTTTTCCTAAAAACCTGTCGGATAGCAAGGTTTAGGATTGTTAAGGGTCGGATTATCGAGTCACGACTGTAGTTATATGATGTGGACATCAACTGTGTAGTATTGAATCTAGATTCCAGTGACAAACTGACCAGTTATAGGGTTCAAGTTTCCTACTTCTTCTGTGACCAATCATTGTACACTGCAACTCTTCAGTTTTGCAGTACAAGTAACAAAACAGCAGCCAGGACTTTTGGATGAATAACAGTTACTAATTTCCTCAGTTTGCTTTGAAAGGACAAAAAGAACAAACCTGAGCTGTGAGTTTATGTTGCTCATTTTGTGTTTGGCATCCTCACGATAACATTCCTGTCAGGACAAAGTGTTGTAAAACCTTGTAGTTGCACAGAGGTAGCCGCTAACATTAAAGTTTATTCTCGGTGCATATTACAATGTTATCTTAAGTAATGCACATTACTAACCGCTTTGACCTTTTCTCCTTTTACTTTTCTATTGTCGGACCTGCTTTGAATAGGAAGGGCGGATGTAGGAGCCCAACAGGGAAGAAACTGCAACTGAAACCTTTGGAAAAATGGTGGAGGGCAAAGGCAGAGGAGAGCAGTAGGTGCTGAGAAAAACAGAAAGTTGCAGAGGGAGAGAAAAAAGAAGTAAAAGAGAGAGAGGTGAGAGAGCAAAAGGGAGGAGCGCGTCCAGAAAACAGCCAGAAATATTTTGTTATGGTCTCCTTTTATTGAATCTCTGGCAAGACCTTCCGTTGTGCTTTGCTTCCTGTGCTGCACACAATGGCACCTCCGTTTTGTTTTGTTTTTTTACTGTTGTTACCTCATGCCCTAATGGTGAAGATGGAGCTGCACTGAAAAAGCTTAAAACTAATTCTTATTTCTTACTTGAACTACACAGAGGCCCTCTGTGATCACAACTCATAGTCAAAAGTATTTCAAGCCTCAAAGATCTTCTGTTTTTTGTGGTTGTGGTGGCAGACCAGGATGACAGTCATGCACAATACACATTTAGCTTGTTGTGTGTTTAATGTATTTGTATGTACCTGTCTGATTCAGTGGTGATGGGCCACAGTTTACACATCGTAAGGAGAAACACTGACATGCATTAGATGGGTGGTTGTAGCCAGATGGCTTGTTGGTCAAGGCCTCGCTTTCATTTGCATCACCATGGCTTTGCATTGCATCAGGCTACTTTGCAAAACATTCTTCTTTATTCTGCTGAAATTTACAAAATTGTTCCAAATGACACACAGATCCCTTTTCTCCAGTCTGTCCAGTTTCATTGCTTCTTCATTGTATTCTCTCGCCTGTCACGTCCTCTATTTTCTCCTTAATGCCCAGTCTCTGGGTCTTGTGAAGCTCTCACACAGTTTTCTGTAGGTGTTTGTAAAGACCTGTAAATACGAATACTCAATTATTTCACCATTTATAGGGTAATAGGCTGAGTTTCCACTTGCTTTATACAGTGCTTTTCATGGATTCCATCACATCATGACTGTTTTCTGCTTTTTTCCTTTATTTATTTTTATTTTTTTCTTTTTCTAGGTGATTTTGCTCATCATCTCCCACCACTTCCTCCTCCCGTCTTCCATTCATGAGCAGCGTGGCTGAATTTAACAGCGGCAGCCATGGATGACAAGGGCTCGGTGGGGAAGATTAGCGTGTCTTCGGACTCAGTGTCCACTCTCAACAGTGAGGACTTTGTCCTTGTGTCCCGGCTGGGGGACGAGACACCCTCCTCCACTAATAATGGTAGTGATGACGAAAAGACAGGACTGAAGGTAAGGATGGTTGGGTGTAGGTATGGACGCAAGTACGAGGGAGAGAAGGGGGACTTAAGAGGTGTAATAGTTAGAGTTTAAGTGCTGAATGCCACAGGTCTGTTGACATTTACAGAGATAAATGCTTTCCTCAGGTGCTTCTTCTTACTATTCGTATGCTCAGTGCTGATTAGCTCTGATCAAATAGGAAGAGTTATAATCACGTTCAAAACACCTGTTTGATAACAGATTGTGCTGCAGGCTCCTATCAGCACTCTTTCTGTCGTAGTAAAACTGATTTAAGAGTGCATGTCAAGTCACTCGGCTATAACCTGTTTGTCATCGAGGTGCTTTGAATCAACACCTTAATGTTCATGTGTCTGTATTTATTTGTAAGCAATGTAATGCATTAAAAAAAAAAATGCAGATTACAGATCACTCACTTGTCAAACGCTCTCAACTCATCATTTTAAACATGCAGCGGTTTTTAGATCACATTTATTACTCTCACACTCTTAACCATAACACTAACCATTTCTTGTTTTGCTTTTATCATTCGCACTCTACCTTTTGCTCATAGTTGGTCTTAGATGTGTGTGTGTGTGTTTCATTTGTTTGCCTTTTGTGACTGGCTACTTGCAGCCCTTGTGTGCACGTTCACGTACATCTCGAGCAGTCTGTTGTAGGATTTGTCTGTTGTGAAGAACTGCGTGTCTTTCAAACCTGTGAGGAATGAAATTTGTTTTTGAAGTTTTACCACTGAAAACTGCCCTAAGTAGTAAAGAGAAGTGGAAAAAGAAGGATGTGGACAATAAATCCATACATCAAACAGCTGACAATAACAGTCTTCTCCTTTTTTTGCGAGGGCCGAAAGTGTAAGAAAAGTCAGCTGATATTTTGCAATTGTGTTTGTGTCAGCAATTCGAATGCAGCTTAACTTTGGGAAAACACTTCTCATCCGTAGTCAGCCAGCTGCTCCTGTTTGAATACATCCGTGTGCTACCGTCGTGTTGTACGGCTGCAATACAGGATGCACTCCGTGATTGAATTCAGCGCTTCCGTTCGGACTCACTCAGGAAGATATTAGCTCATGAACAGTGTCGTGATGCAGCTTGGACCTCGCTTTGAACCCACTGCCAGGGCAAATAACAGGGTTGTGTTACTGGAGTGTAGCTGTCCACGAAGACAACAGAGAGTTTTGAGGGAATAAATGTGGCCAACAGCCGCCATCCTGTGTGTGTCCCTACTGGGTTCAGGTTTCTATTCTCCTCCTTCTCCTCTCCTCTCCTCTCCTCTCCTCTCCTCTCCTCTCCTCTTATTGAATTAATACTTCTGGCTCACATGTTCATACTGTGTCCATTAGTTTGTCTCATCAAACTCGGTACCACAAGATGGCGCCAGCAGAGCATGGATGTTGCATATTCAGTTCATGAGAAGATGCCACACTTCTCTGTTGTTTGCTGTGCTTGGAGAAAATGTGATTTTTATTTTTTTTTTCATATTACCCGAAACAGTTATGTTGATGGACAGCTCAGGAGAGGTTTTGTGCTTCCTAGTTGACATTGTCTGCCTGCTGTCAGATGGATGACAAGCAGCACCTGACACCCATCCACTGTTCTCAGTATGTAGCGGTGAAATCACTCCATCCACTGACACCCGCCACTCGGTCATCTTGATATCATGTTTTTGTTGGTTTTTTTGTTGCCTGCCGACACACTCTTGTGCACATTTCCCTCCCAAGTCAGTCCATCCAGTCAGGCCCAGGAGTCAGTGTTTCTAAACTTGTTGTTTGTTATGCAGGTGATTTCTGAGGAAGGGGTCAGCTTTAAGGTCAGTCTCTTCTCTCGCTGTCTTTTCTTTCCTTCTCTTCTCTCTCTCTCCGTCTCTCTCTATCTTGTATATATCTCCTCTTTCTTTCTGTGATGTGATTCCGTGGTGATTCTGTCTGTGATTATTTGTGCTTCCTTTGCCGTCCGCTGAGCGACGGCCCTCCTAGTTCTTTAGTAGTTTGGTTTTGATGACGGTAGTGATAGACATTCCTACATATAGACCGTAGTTACCTGACATTTCCCCAGGCTTGTAGCACTACCTGTAAACCACAACTCCTGCTGCAGCTGCATAGTGACAAAATGATGCGTGAACCTAAATACAGAATAGATAGCTGGCTTCCCCAAAGAATAAGCTTTTTCTCATTATGCCAATTGTTCTGTGGCACAAGAACTGTTGGCATTGCAGTCGTAGTATCCATCCTGCTGTAGATTATTATCCTAGCCTGACAACATTGGAAACATGCACCGATCCATGGCAAACCGTTTACGGAGAGCCCACTTGGAGCATGTTACCAATACGTCACCCGTGAAATCACAAACACCGCAGAGAAAATCAGATGTGTATCCTCGGTTGCTCAGTACAACAGTGCCCTCTTCAGTGTAAGTCCAATCACCATTTGCTGCTGCTGCTGCTGCCGCCACAGCAGGTTGGGACATAGAGCTTCGCCTCATTTTGTGGCATTTCATGGTTAGGACGCAACTTTCTCTTGGTAGTTTTTATTCGGTCGATTCAGAGCAACAGTACGTACAGTCAGTGTTGTCACAGTTGTTCTATTGCACTGGTACTGGTAGTTCACACTTTGAACTGACTTATCTACTAATCACTAATACGGGATGAAATCTAATAAAGATGTATCTCTGACATGAAACACGACATCTTTTCCCTTTGAACACACTGCAATCACTTGAACTGAATTATAAGATCACTGCTAGATTCAGAGTCACTGCACATGTTTAGAAACTGTAAGAAACTTGTAATGAAGGTTATGGTGATCACATTTTGCAATAAGAATGTTATGTTTTTTACATGTTTGGGTGTAAAGTTGTGATTTTCTGTGCCTCCTTTTGTGGTTGTGTGCGTGCTTGTTGCTATGTGTGCATGTGTGATTCTGTACCTTTTGTGTGTATCAGATTGTGGGGAATGGAAGTGAGCAGCAGCTCCAGAGGGAGTTAGAAGATGTCCTCATGGACCCGTCGGTAGCTGACACTGGGACCGCATCAGAAGCAGGAATGGACAGCCTTGGCAGGGGCGACCATGGCCACCTTCCTACCACAGCGTCACCTGTACCGCCGGGCTCTGACCCGCTGAGCGCACCGCCGCCCAAGTTGGAGATGGTGCTTCCTGTTCAGACGGCGCAGGAGAGCGAGCTGAACGAGAGGTCGTACAGAGGTGAGCCAGGATGTGACTGTTTTAATCCTCTTTTCTCACTTCTGTCGAAGCTCACACAGCGGGGGTTATCTTCAGTTTTATAGATTTTTTGAGACACTAACAGTTCACAGATGCAGACAGGTTTCTAAATCATATTTCGTAAGTTGTGCCTTTTTATATCCCCGAAGAAGACTGTTGCTATTTTCGTCCTATTTGTCTTTTCTGTTTCATGATTTTCGTCTAGTGTTATGACTTCTCAACCATCCACCTAAAGCCTCTCCTAATTTTTCATTTCTTCTTCTCTGGCAAGTCAACTTATCTCAGGCTTTTCTCCTTTCTTTTCTTTCCCAATTTGCAGGAGATGAATCGTCATCAGAAGGCAGCCCAAGCAGTCCAATTCCAGATGAGGACAGCGTTGTGTTCAGCCAGCTGACATATCTCGGGTGTGCCTCGGTCAATGCCCCCCGGAGCGAGGTGGAGGCCCTGCGTATGATGAGTATTCTGAGAGGGCAGTGCCAACTCCCCCTGGATGTCACGCTGTCTGTGCCAGGAGTGTCTGAAGGCACTGTCAGGTAGGGGGAACGTATGGATAATCGGTTCATTATATGGATTGTTAGTTCCACTTTCACAGTCAACTACAAAAAACGTGCATGCAATGTGCATGCTTCACCACTTACACACAGCACACATGGCAAAACTGAGTGATTCAATGGTGACTTTAAAGCCATCTGACAGCAAAATCTTTGATATTTTAACAGGTTGTTGGACCCCCACAACAGTACTGAGATTGCCAACTACCCTATCTACAAGATTCTGTTCTGTGTACGAGGCCACGACGGGACACCGGAGAGCGACTGCTTTGCCTTCACTGAGAGCCACTACAATGCCGAGATCTTCAGGATCCATGTGTTCCGCTGCCAAATACAAGAGGCGGTGAGCGTTTAACGTTTAAGTAATTGTTGTTGTCTAACTCAATTAAAGTATATGTGCAGCGCTCGTATTTGCCAAGCTCATAAAAACTTTACACAACAGACTGCCATTTAGACAGGAATGCGAGTAAAAATGATTTCAGCTGACATCACATAACTTAGATTTTTACATGAAACGCATATAACAAATACAGTTGTGAACTGCAGTTTACATGCACTACTAAACACCACCATGGCAGTCTGGAGTTTCTAATGACTCCTATTAGTTTTCTATGGTGGAATCACTGAAACACACACGTCTTTGTAACAAAAACATGCATTTGAGCTCTTTCTTAGATTTATTATAAGTCTTTTGGAAAAACAGCTTCAGGAATCTGCTTGGTCAAAAATATATATACAGTAATGCTAATATTTTGGCCATATTCACCTCAGTTAGAGGCTTTAGGAGCCATCCGCAGACTTCTGGTTGTACCTTTGACCACTTCATGATCACCTTCACAAAACTTCTATGATACACCAGTCATGACTCGATAATTCAGCGCTAAATGTAAAACCTTCTTTTATGTCAAATAGCAAGCACTCTGACAGGGTGGAAGTGGCCGTTTAGGACACCGGTCACAGTTCTGCTTCCACCATCAGTGGCGGAGACGGGGGACAAGTTACGCTCCACCGTTACCATCCGTGTTTACGTCCACAAACACTGAGCACGCTCGCTGTGTGTGACGTCGTCGTGTCCTCTTCTGCGCATGCGGGACACTTTTGGGTCGTATGAAGTTCACACAGCAGATCACATACAAACCGCTTTTAATTGGAAATGTGAAGAAACTCGCAAAAAAAAAAAATCGGATTTAAAAAAAAAATCCAAATGTAGCATTAAGTCCTGCAGTCTGAACGTAGCCAATCTGTGGGATTGTTCAGTCAGATAATACGCCGTTATCCTGATTGGTGACATAAAATGTCATGTTGGAGTCAGAATCCAAGGCTGTCATTATGTTAAGGCTATTTTTCATGAATTCCGTTCGTTTTTCCCAAAAACCTGTCGGATAGCAAGGTTTTGGATTGTTGAGGGTTGGATTATCGAGTCACGACTGTATACAGACGCACGTGTGTGTGTGTGCTTTTCTTTACAACTGTACAGTCAGTGTTACTGCAGTTCAGTTAGGTAACCAAAGAGGGAGAAAAAGCCTCTCCTCTAACACATATGACACCTTCTTCTCGTTTTTCCTCACTTCTGCTCTCACTTTTACATATACATGTGTCCACACTCACATGGCCAGAGGTACACTGGTTGACCTTGTCTTAAATAGTTGATCTCTCCTTAGCCTTTCCCTCTGGGTTCAGTGTCAGTGTGGGAGCTTCTTCAGTGCTCCCCTGGGGATTATGTCATGCAGCGCAGTTTGCATTGCGATGCAACCGTGTGCAGCCATACACACAATCCCCAAAGCCAACTTGCACTGGGGGGGAATTGTCATTGCTAATATACGGTCGGTTCAGCAGAATAGAAGAGGGAACTCACTCAAGAAACTGGGTTAAAATACAGCTTCGATGTTCACTGACCCGATTTCTCCCTCATGGAAGCACTCTTCCTTCAATGTCACTAAGAGCCCCCAGACATGCGCTACTTTATCTCTCGTGCATCAGCCAACGATCCAGTTTCCCAGACATCCACCCACAATACATGTACTCACACCAAAACACACGGAAGTAAGCTCCAATAGTTTTTCATGCATTCACTCAGCGTCTTCCTTGTTTCTAGCTCTGGCTTTCTTCCTCACAGTCTTCCTCTTGTACCTGCCCTTGTCTTCCTTCCAGTCTCACAGCAACAAACCCATCTACACTGTCTTTTTTGGCCTTTCATTCTCACTTTTAGATGGTTGTGAGTCAGCCCATTGGTTGCCTCTTGCTTCAGGAAAAAGCTGCTCCAGTCATGTGCTTCACATCAGCCTCAACTCTGCAGTAAACGACTCATATGACCTCCTAAATGTGTTTATTTATTCATTAGGAGGTCTTAACTTATTTATATAGAAATATATTTTTTAAAACTGAAACAAAAAATATTCACTCTTTTTGACAAAATCTGTATTTTTAAAAAATAATCTTTTAATTGCAAACACTCCCAAAGTAACCCTGTAGCAAGTCTTCACATTAAATATGTAGATTTTCTTTACCCATAATCTCAATTTGGAAAAGAAAATTCTCCTCATTTTACAAAGCAGTTACTCTCAGTTCATCCTTGTTAGGTAATCATGTGCCTCTTTTTTTGAGATTTTGTGGAATTTCTTTTTCTCAATAGGTTTGTGGATTTTGTGGAAATGTTCATACATAAAGCAAACCACCTCCTCAGTCCCGCTTCGCTTTGTGCCAGACCTCCTAGTCAGGCCCCAAGGCTGGTCTGTAACGATTCCCCCCTGATGTTAACGGTGCTGCAGAGCCCTGCTCAGTCTCATGCTTATCACCTCCTTTTTTATGACTATAAACTTGCTGCTCAGAGATGTATATATCTTGTGCCATGTAATTCAAATCGGTTCACCTTTAATGGATTTGTTTTTTCACAAGTGATCTGAGCTCCTATCCAATTAAATAACATGTAGAAAGCCAAACACAGTAAAAATGACTCAGTGGTTTTTTGCAGTTCCATGAAGCTGAAAATCTCTTAAAGTCTCATGTCAGTGTGCACATGAACATAATGCTGAAAAGACTTTTAAGTGGCTGGATCCAAAATCATCATAAGATCTTGTGTAATTCCTTTCTTAACAAACCCAAAGGTTAAAACATAAAACACGTCCTCAATAGTTTATTTGACATATTTAAAATATTTCCCAGAGCTTCCTTAAAAGTACAAAAATAACCAGCGACAGAAACTATGAATGAAATTCAAGTAGTGAAGAGAAAAGGATGTAACAGCTGTCCTTCTTTCCGATGTGAATACGTTTGTTTGACAGCTCCTTTTGTGGAATCCAGCGTTTTTTGTGGGGGTAATAGCTTGAATTTATTTTGACTTGTGTTATTACAAAAGCACTCAATGTCAGTCTAAAGTGTACGTCAGGCTGGATGTTTTTGAAGTACAGCTGTTCATGTCTTAAAATGTGCTCCTTCATGCTGCACACAAAGAAAAACAAAATCCATTTGGAGACATTGAAAACTGGTCAGCTTTGACTCTAGCATTGATCGAAACCGTACAGAACAACAGTCCCATTGTGTTAAATGTTAAAATCATTATTCCACCAATACAGGGGGTCACCCCCCATCTAACTCTACTCATCCCACATCTCTTACATCTCCTCCCCTGTTGTTTCTCAATAAATAAACCCGCTGCAATCTCCTTCTACTGCACCAGGAATATAACAAAGGCTTTGTGTAGGAAAGGTTAGAAGCTGCTTTATACCCTGAGCTTGAAAAAAAAAAAATCAAGAGTGTTGTTGTTTATTGATAACAGCAGTTTCCCCACACCGTCTTTTCAGGCACTAAACCTCAATGTTCTGCTGTTTACCAGAATTAGAAATGATCCAAAACCACTGTGGCCGTGGGCCTCTAGTCAGGGGAGAGCTCTGTGATTTAGCACAAAATCACACACACATGTCTGTTCGGTAATAATCAGAAAATAAAAGACTTTTCTCTTCACTAAATGCAATGCTCATAAATTTAAACTCTTGTTAGCGGAAAAGTATATTTAGAGAATGTAAATAAATTATTACCACCCAGTTTTTCCACACTTGGCAGCCTCTAGCTGCTCCCCCCCAACAACTCTGCTCCTCTTTAGGGTTCGAGATTTAGCAGAACTCTGCAGTTTCTGGCAGCACTGAGTTGTCTTTGTTTTATGTTAATGCGAACAATACCTCCACACTGTGACTCAAAGGCAAATATGAATCAGTGTTTTAATGAGGGTTCAGAATGGATGATATGTAGGAGGGTTTTCAGTCAGTGGAGTAGTGGGTCACATGTGCACAGGTCTGATAGAACTTGAGTTTACTTTGATTCGTGCCAATATCTTTGGTCTCTAAAACTCAACTTTATGGTCCACAAGATATTTCGGCTACTGGAGCTGATAGAATTTTTGCCAACGCCAAAAAACCTGCTGCAGCATTTAGCCTTTTAACACTGTTTATTATCTTATCAGCGGATGCTTTCCATTTCCAGCTATGTAATTAACTTGTCATTGGTGCCTTTGTCCACATCTAATGGAGACAACAGAGCAGGGGACAGGAAGAGGAGAGCTGTGTTGAAATATAATTTTGCTATTGTTGTCTTTACTTTTTTGTTGAATGAAGATCACTAAAGGTCATTACTTCCTCTTCAAACACAAATCGTTAGGGTGCTTATGGGGAGTGTGCTCCACTGAATGAATTAGCTAACTGATGCTTAATTAATTAATAAATGAAAGGACAAGTGCTTTTGTTCAGTTTCCCAGTTATCAAATGAACAACTTTAGCTTAAACTTCATGGGTTTAGCTAACAGATGGGCGACCTCAGCTCCCCTCGCTTGTTGTCTGTGGTCGCCACACAGGAAAGCAACTGATTGGAAACTCAACATCACAAGTGGTGTGACTGAAAATATCTGTCGTCTTCATGTGGAAACTTTCCTTGAGGGAAGTCGCTAGTGCAGAATAATGAACTGTAAGTCTCGTGGTAGCTTACGTAAGTTCAGTCTTCTTGGTAAGGGTGTAAATGCAGTTATTCATTTAAATGGTGCAATTTGTCAGTGTTTGGGTTTGAGTACATGACCTTCCTGTTCTTTATTCATGTGCATATTCTCTGCACAGTCGTGGCTTTAAACAGCATTTTACTGAATTCATGTGTCTTGTGAAGTTAATTACGTGTGTACGCTTTCATCCCGCAGGTGAGTCGGATACTGTACAGTTTTGCCACAGCCTTTCGGCGGTCAGCGAAGAAGGCAGTTCTGTCGTCTCAGCAGTCTGCGCCGCTCACCCCCGACAGCGACTTGTTTACTTTCACCGTCAGCCTGGAGATCAGGGAGGATGATGGCAAGGGTACATTCAGGTGAGGCTAGCGTTCAAACGTCTTGTATATTTAAAAAATTTTAAGGCATGGAAACCATCATTTAAGAGGTTGTCTAAACGAGACGAAACGACGAATAAATTAGAAACCGTAAACGTCATCATCAAATTGGATTTGCAATAGCCCAAGAACATGATGAATGTTTTTGATGAAAATATCCACCAAATATCCTGAGATTCACACAGCAAATGAGCAGCGTAATGCACATAAATACAGGAACATGCATCCCTAATTTTGAGGATCAAGTGTTGTTTAAAGTTTGCACACTTTCTGTTCACCCAATTATTAAAATCATAAACCTTCCTGAGGTTGACGGCAGGTGGAGTAAATGCTTCACACGAGGGAAGTGCCATCTGATTGGTTTATATATATGAAAAAAGAACATGTCGGTAAATGGAGCATGAAAATGATTAAGCTAACTGTACAGTGCTGAATAAAGAGGATCACAGAAGACGGATATTTTTATCACTTGTATTGATTAATCACACGTACACTTCAGATCAGAGAACAGGACAGAAAGTTCCTGTTTGTTCCATTCAGTGCATCTTCCCTGACCTTTTTCCTTTTTATTTAGTTTTGCCATAACACTGAGTCACTTCCGTGCGTTCACAAATAGCCCCAGATACTCAGCTCATTTGAAAAACAAAACAAAATAAACAAAAATATGCCGGAGAGTATTTTTAGCCGGCACATATTTCCTCCTCATTAGCTTACAGTTGATTATTTTTAGTGTTCTGACTCCCAAACAGACAGCTCCTACATGCAAGTACACACTGCTTGTGTTTGTGTTTTAGCGATTTTAAATAGTGTATGGAATGCTATGTAGAAACTGTGCAGAAATAGTGTATATTATCTCTATATAAAATAGAAGTAGAATGTCTTTAAATCAGTATTTTTAGTGTAAAACTGTGGCTCAGTCTGATAAACCGTACTCAGAAAGAGATTTTTGATTTGTGCACTGCCTGAAATTCAGGTTCCAAATGTTTTCAATAGATTTCAAATTGATTAATGTTTTGCTTTTAATTTTTGGAATTTTACTCCGCTTACCTAACTTAAGGGTTTCTTTTTCAGTGTTTCCTCAGGAATTCATGCCAGCGAGGGTTTGGAGAATGTTGATTACAGTTTCTGTCTAAAACTTGGTTCCTTTCCTGCTCTGAAAGCGGAGCAGGAAAGGAACCAGAGTCTGAGGAGGACCAGAGCGTGTTTGAAAGGGGCTCTTATGAACAGTTTTATTGTGATAAATGACTGTGGTCTGAACTTGAACCATTGTCTTAATGCTTTTTTCAGTCAGACTGACAGAGTGACTAAAAAGTTATGAATTTCGTTTTTTTCTATCAATTTTATTGATTTGTGACATGATTTGTTCCAACCAAACACTGATTGGCCTAATTTCATGTATTATTTTGTAAACAAGTAGAATCAGCAGCATTATGGCTCACGTCCACAATATAGATATGATTAAAACCTCCATGTGTCCTGTCAGCTTGTGTTCAATTGTCTAATATACGTGTTCATACATCTCTGACTGTACACTGTTTACGCTGTGTCTGCTGCTGTATGACTTAAATGTGTTTGCTTTTCTGAAATCAATGATGCTTCTGATGTTGAGAATTTGGTATTTCCTTTTTTTTCCACATACAGCGCGGTAGCAAAAGACAAGGACAAACAGAGCTTCAAGCTGCGCGCAGGCCTCGACAAGAAAATTGTCATTTATGTTCAGCAGACCTCCAACAAAGAATTGGCCATCGAGAGGTAAAATAAAGCGCCAGCACTCACACGCTCATACACACACAATACATCTTCGGAGCAGCATTTTCAGAGATTTTACTTTACTTGGCAGCGTGCAGAATCACTAAACGCTTCTGTCGATTTGTTTCATGCGTTGGCTGGATGAGTCAGAGTTTCTCGTCAGTGATGACACCACTAAAAGGCAGCTGGGAAACATGGGAACATTTTTTTAAAAAATAAAGAAAGAATGCATAAAAGCTCTCTGAACCCCAACCAGTTTCTGGGCGCTTTTTGCTCCTGTCACGTTTTTCCTCGCTGTGTTTTTCACTGCAGTATAAAGTCCTGCACCTCTAAGGAAACACAACACAACCGTGACTAGAAGTAAAGAGAACTCATAGTATGAAGTCATACGAAAAGAAAAGTTGAATCTCTTTCATTATTCATTTTACTAAAACACCTGGAATCGACATGTATGACACAGACAACCAAGCACACTCACATTCACACCTACGGGCAATTTAGAATCACCAATTAACCTCAACATGTTTTTGTACTGTGTGGGAGGAAGCCAGAGAACCCACACTGCACGGGGAGAACATGCAAAACAGAAAGATCCCAGGTGTCCTCACTGGGACACGAACTAGCAACCTTCTTGCTGCGAGGCAACAGTGCTACCAACTGCGCCACCTTGCTGCCCTTGTACACAAACAGAGAACTGAAATTGGGTTTCTCTCAAACCTTCATTTAAAAACAAACAAAAAAAAAACAGTTGAATAAATGTACATACTAAAAAATATTTACAATGAACATATAATAACCTACAAAATATACAATTTAAACATATAATAGGCTAAAAAAATATACAATCTGACCATATAATAAGCTAACAATAGAAGTAAACACAAAAGAGAACAGAAGAACCTACATATTAAGACTTTGGTTCCGAACCGGATTTGTATGAAGAAAACAAATGTGCAGTGACAACAGTGCAGTGCAGTAGTCGGACGCGACAAAGACTTACAAAAACTCTGGGCTTCACGAGACAAAACACATGAAAACACTGTTGTGTCGGGAGAGAGAGGCGCCGCCATCTGACCGTTTAATCGAGCCAGCTTTGACACCATTTCTTTTTGTTATTTTAAACAGAATTGCGCTCCTGCAGCTGGTTTGTTATTAATAAGACATGTAGAATTAACTCACATTAGGTTGGTTTTTTGTGACTAATCTGAAAGTGAAGTTTAAATTTTAATGAATCTTCCTGTTTTTACAGTTTCTCGCTATGATAAATGGTGTAACTTTGGCATTACTTAAAAAAATGACATGCCTGTCAACATATACAGGTGGGTTTTGGGGTTCAGAAGATAAAGGACCTTGTGCTTAGTGTTGTTTTTAAGTTGATTCTAATTAAATGTCTACTGTGTAGGCAGTCCTGTGTTCAGAAGATTTGTTCTAAAACAAAGCCAACAGGTAGAACTCTACACATGATAAAGCATTTAAAAACAATCTAGATTATTTTAAGCAACTCAGGGACAGTAGTATATTAGTTCAAGTTTTTGTTACTGCAGGTTAGTCGTGAAAAAGTAAAATATTTAAGAAGGGAATTTGTACATCTGTCAGACTGACAGGGACGCCTCCATTTGCCACAGCTATTACGTGTCTGCTGAAAACCTGAGCAGACAGTCCTCAGAAAGAAATCGCTCAGCTGTAATTGATAAACACCCACCCGTGGATATCTTTACATCCGAGTGTCGACCCACGTCGGGGTTTAAGTGTTCTGGGACAGCGGCGAGGTGGTGATTGAGCTCAGTCTGTCTCAGAGGCTCTTCGTTTTCCACAGTTTAATAAATCTGCTGAAATTTAAACATTCCATTAGCTTTTTGTAGATTTCCATTTACACCGGCGGTTTGTTATTGTTTCATGAACCCGGAGAAAGTGCGGATTGAAGTGCCGTGTTTAATATCCTCCACGCTCTGGTCTGTGTTAGAAGATCAGATCAGGAAGCTATTTGCGGTAACATATGTGATCTTTTACAACCGATTTTACTCTATAGAGATTTATTGTTCTATGCCTGGTTCCTGCTCCTGCCCCGTTTTTTTTCCCCCTCTCCTTTTTTTTTTCTTATGTAATCCTATTCATATCATTTCTATCTCTCTCTCTCTCTCTCTTGCATCCCCTTGTGTATATGTGTGTATGTGTGTGTTCTCCAGGTGTTTTGGACTCCTGCTCAGCCCGGGGAAAAATGTGAAGAACAGCGACATGCACCTGCTCGACCTGGTGGGTGTTTTTTTTCGTGTGCATGTGTTGTTGTGTGTGTTCGTGTGCGCCTGCTGACTTCCTTCAACTTGTGCCCCCTCAGGAGTCAATGGGAAAGAGCTCAGACGGGAAGTCTTACATCATCACAGGAAGTTGGAACCCCAACACGCCTCAGTTCCAGGCTGTGAATGAGGAAACGCCCAAAGGTAAGAGCCAAGAGTCTGTCTAAGATTTGTACACAGCAGAATGGTTTTCAGCAGTTATTATTTCCTAGGTTTGGATTTATTGGCTAATTTGTCGTTAATGCACTCTTATTTTTGCACCAATATTTGACAGGAGTGTTAGAATCACTTTAAGTCAAGCTGTGAAGAAGCAGTTTGTGATAAACGTGTGGCTGCAATGAGTACAGATAGATGCTGTACCTAAACAGCTGGTAGCATTAGTAATTCTGTGCAGCTTTTATATTTAGCAGTTAACTGACACACAAACTACGCATGATGTTTTAGCTGTTTTCTGTTTTTGCTTCTAGATAAATTCATGTACATGACGACAGCAGTGGACCTTGTGATCACGGAGGTCGAGGAGCCGGTCCGTTTCCTTTTAGAGACGAGGGTCAGAGTGTGCTCCCCAAATGACAGGCTGTTCTGGCCCTTCAGCAAGCGTAGCTACACTGAGACCTTCTACCTTAAACTGCGACAGGTTTGTCAAGTCATGGGACGATTTCTGTGATTAAATCCGTTTAAGCGATGGACTCTGTGACCTGAAATCAACTGAAACCTGCAAGAAAATACACACATAAACTCACAAATAATGGCTCCAAATCCCCTCCATGTCCCACTCATATACAAAACTGAAAAAGAAAGAAGAAATATATTTGTCAACCCAAGAAAATGTGATTTAACCTAGTTTATCCAGACAACTAATGGTGTGTCAGTTTTGAATAATTTAAAAAAATATCTAAAATTGGATACAGGCTTTGGCAAGGTGTCCATATGAATCAAATGTTGTTGCCAAATCCTTAGAAAGATTGTGTGGAATGCATCGATTCCGTTCCAAAAATCATCTGGCAATGAAAAGAGAGAATCAGATTTCTATGTCATTGCTGTACACTTTATGTAATGCAGATGCTCTCTAAAACTTTTTTCAAGGTAAATATGCATCAGTTGTTGGAAGATTTTTTAAAATAAACAAATTTGTGGATCCAATGCAAAGTTAGTTCTAACTGGAGCCACAAAAATATCTGTTATTTTAGTCATAATATCACAATAAGTCACACTGCACACGACCGGGTGTAACCTCTGTGCCACGTCACTCTCCCTTATGTTTCGTCTGATGATCTTCTCTTTTTAGATGGAGCGTAAAGAACGTAAGAGCCCCGCTTCGGACACACTTTACGAGGTGGTGAGTTTGGAAAGTGAAACCGAGAGAGAAAAAAGGAAGACCACAGCCAGTCCCAACATCCTGCCCGGCGGCCCTGGAACTATGGTTCCTTCCCCACCTGAGGACGACGAAGACGAAGGTGATTGGATGCACTCTTGCTTTCTTACGCACAACACAGAGGAAGAGAAAATATGCTACAAATCAAGTTCCAGATATTGCAGAGGGCATAGTTTCTTTATATAAGCCGTGCTCTTTACAAATATCCCCACAGAAACAGCCCGACCGGCACCACTATATGATAATAGTTTTAACTTCTTGAGTCACCTGTTGTACTGGATCATATCAGACTTCTAAACAGCTTTAAGTGTTGTCCTGACCTAATTCAGAGAGAGGCACCTCGAGCACACAATAACAAAGCCAGCAATGCCCTGCAGCATGAAATTAAACAAGGTTAACCAGCTGGATCGCACCGCTTCCAAATATTGAATGTTCAAGCATTTTCCTTATCTGTTCCAATTGTTAATGCTTTGCTCCACCTAAAAAACCGAAAGTGTGTCCTCTAAGGCAGTGCCAGATATACACTTGTGAAGTTGAAATCCTGTGTGATATCAGACTCTGTGTTACAGAACAGTTTGTACTGTTTCATCACAGAGTACATAGCCATCAGCGCTGTCTGTGTGTTTTGTATTTTTGTATGAACATGAAAGGAGGCAAAGAGTATAAAAGGCAAAGAGCATAATTGAGGTACTTTCTGTGTTTTAGTCTCACTCTTTGGACTTTGTGTCCAGCGATTGCTCCTTGCCCGTCGCTATGAATGTTCAGGCGCCACAGTGGGTATAGATAATGTTGTTTTTTAAACCGATACTGTGTAAAACTAAAAAAAGACATAGCGTTTTGTTTAGCTTATGAAAACCCACGTCTAGTCTCTCATACAGACTGATTTAGACAGCTGTGACTGAAGCTCAACATTGTGATGTCCACAGCTGAGATGCAACTCAGATTAACAACATCCATCCATTCATTATCTATACACCGCATAATCCTCACTAGAGGGGCGCGGGGCTGGAGTCTATCCCAGCTGACTCAGGGTGAAGGCAGGGGACATCCTGGACAGGTCACCAGTCTATCACAGGCTTAGAGACAGACAACCAAGCACACTCACATTCACACCTACGGACGATTTAGAATCACCAATTAACCTCAACATGGTTTTGGGCCTTGTGGGATGAAGCCGGAGAACCCGGAGAGAACCCACGCTGCACGGGGAGAACATGGAGACTCCACGCAGAAAGATCCCGGGTGTCCTCACCAGCGACCTTGTTGCTGCAAGGAAACTGTGCTAACCACCGATCCACTTTGCAGCCCTAGATTAACAACAGAAATACCTAAAACAATACAACACACTCTGATTAACATCACAAAACATCAAACCAGAGGATTCCAAGTTGTCATATCAACATTTCATTGCACTGTAGACACTGACTCAATAAAACCAGTTACCAAAGTTTTTATATATATAAAAACGTGCAATGGCAGAGTGCACATTATGTGTATTAAATTCCCACCTTTATTTCATCATTTTGTTTTACATGCATCACTAAATGTCAGCTGTGTGCACTCTGAAGTGTTAAAGAAGCAGAAAGTCAGCGTTTATTACTTTGCAATAACAGCTCTCACTCCTTTTTGCTCCGTGTGTCCAGATAATGACGAGCCCTTACTCAGCGGGTCAGGCGACGTTTCAAAGGAGTGTGCGGAGAAGATCCTGGAGACCTGGGGAGACTTACTGTCCAAGTGGTAAGTTTCTGTTCCCATGTATACTTTTGTCCTTCCACTTCTGCAGGAGATGTACGCGAACATACTGTCATCTGCGTGAAAGAAGGAGCAGCGAGCTGTAGTTGCTGATAAGCAGCTTATTAAGATGGCTTCCTTCTCCCATTACTGCATTTGTTTTTAATCAAAAGCTCGCGATGAACTGAATAGAAACTGCCTGCGCTTTAATTAGCTGTAAGTTAAGCCCCCCACACACAGAACGCTGCACAGCATGGCTCTCTCCTTCTCCTGGTCTGCTCTTGAGTATGTTTTTCAGGGGGAAAGTAAAATGAATTTGTACAATACATACATATATAAAACTTTGTGTTTGTCTCAGTAGATTTTGGTATTTGAGATAAAAAAAAAAAGTTAACTTGATCACAGACTCGCTGAATATTTTGAAGCATTTCTCTCCTTTATATGATAAAAGTAACGGATAAATAAAGAAAAGCATCATGAGACCAGCCTGTTTTAACACTAGGCTTTCTGTGTGTGATTGGTGAGCTTGTGTGCGAGTGTGTGTTGTGTCATTGTGGGACGTAGCACTCAGGGAGCACACAGGCGAATCACAGAAAGCCCTTTACAATCTTATGCCCTGAGGACCGGGCCTGGCATCACTTACATCACATGCGCGCACACACACACACACACATTTTCTGCACACACATGTACACAGTTTCCCTTCTTAGTCTCCGCAGAAAATGCCACGTATTGCATAACCTGACGCTCAGAACAAATAAACAAAACAAACCCTGAAAATAGAGGAGGGGGGGATGAATTAAGAAAGGACTGGGAAAGTGAGAGAATCATCAGGGACTCAGGGATTTTCTGTCGGCTCCAGTCAGGCGGTAGTTAGTAGGTAGGTACAGCTGTGCCTCCGAGTGTGGCTTCTCCTTCTCCCTGTATCTCTAATTCTGTCTCTGCCACTTAAAGTGAGCTGGCAGATGCCCGAGTTTATTAACGCCTCGCGCAGTGTATATTACTCTCTGAGATGGAGCGTTTCCCCAACAGGTTTAACATTTAAAGGTAGAAATAAGGACGGAAGGAAAACATTGAAATTGCTTTTTTTTTTTTTTTTAGTGTGTGTGTGTGTTGTTGCGGTTTTCTGTTGGCTGATTGACTCCTATTGTCTATTGTCGTTCTGCTAAAAATAAGGTTGGGGTAAAATAAAGCACAACTAATATCAAGGGAGAAAGACGGGATGATGGAAATGATTCACAGTTTCGGGAATAAGTTTAGTATCATTCATTTTCTCTACAAAAATTTTACGTTTTGTGAGAGTCCTTGATTGATTGTATCTCTTGTGAGAGCTGGGAGTGGAACTTCTGCATGTAAATCATTATATTTTTGGTATTAGATTATATAGACCTGCAAGGTGGCGCAGTTGGTAGCACTGCTGCCTCATAGCAAGAAGGTCGCCGGTTCGCATCCCGGTGGGAGTGGAGTCTGCAGTCCCAGTCTGTCTGTCTCTAAGTGTAGCCCTGTTATAGACTGGTTACCTGTTCAGGTGTCTCCTGCCTTCACCCTGAGTCAGCTGGGATAGACTCTAGCCCCCCCGTGACCCTAGTGAGGATTAAGCGGTGTATAGATAATGGGTGGATATTGGATTATATAAGCCCTAATCATTATTATGATCTCTGCCAAGCCAACCATCAAATGAGACAATAGTCCACTTCCTGGGGCCATGGTAAGCATTGTTTTGGGTAGATATTATAGGCAGGTGTGCACAGAAAGGTTGTATTAGCCAAACTGAATGTCACAAAGTAATTTTTCCACCCTATGAGACTGACCCAGTAGGCCGGCGGTCCCCAACCTTTTCTGCACTACGGACCGGTTTTATGCAAGAAATTTTTCTACAGACCACTCATTGCATACGTAACAACAATAATAGTTTTTTTTATATTAAAAAGTTTCGAATAACACGAATAAAATTATTTGTTAAACGTGTTTACTTTTTCTTCTGTCTCAGCATCGAGTCTTTCCCAATTTCCAAAGAAGCTCCCCATAGATTTGGTTTGTTTTTTTTATACATTTCACAGCGATGATAATACTGACGGCTTCGTTTAACGGCCGAGCATAAAAACTGACAGTCAAGTGTGGAAAACAACCACAGACGGAAGTGATGGGAAGACAAGCTAGTCATTTTTCAAAATAAAACACCCTGTAGACTGCGCTGAATATAAAAAATAAAACAATAAAACTTCTTTTTTTTCCTTTCTGTGCAGCCTGGTACCAAATGACTCACAGCCCGGTACCGATACGCGGCCCGGTGGTTGGGGACCGCTGCAGCCGGCAACGCTACTGAAGTTAAAACTATTTGGTAACCTGTCGTGGCTGACTCTCAACTTTTCCCTTTCCTTACAGGCATATGAACTTATCAGTGCGTCCCAGACAGCTGCCGGCTTTGGTGCGGAGCGGCATTCCCGAGGCGCTCCGTGGGGAGGTTTGGCAGCTCCTGGCCGGCTGCCACAACAACGACCACCAGGTAGAGGAGTACCGCACTCTCATCACAAAGGTAAGACCTCACACAGTTCATGTTGATGATCAAGGCTCACCCCTCATTTTTGTGTTGTAGTGATTTGAGAAGCTCTTCGTCAACAGGGTGACTTAGATTTTGAGGTGGATTATTCCCTCTGTTGATTTCTAATTATTTGCATGAGCAATTACTAAGACAGACTTTTTTTATTTAACAGTTCTGTCCTCTCTGTGGTTACAGTTATATTTTCTAACTGAAACAAATTCAGTTTAGACAGAGTCTAGACATTTTGTTTTTGTCGTTGGATTGCGCTCGGCGGAGCACATTTGTCGCTGTTATCCTCATTAGAAACAGTCATGGTTACATTTTACCTATTTGGAAGTACACCTCAGGGGTCACCACTGGCCTTGTTTCATAAGTTTCCTTCTCATGTGCTTCAAACTTGTGATAGGAACCACTGTTGCTCTGCAGTTCATCTGCAGCTGCAGCTGCTTATTTTTAGTGTTGTGCAAGCAATACACCTATCTTGTGCTTGTCATGTGTGAACAGCTCAGCTAAAAGGAAATAATAACCGACTCAGTAATGTTGTAACAGTCTCCTAGTTCACTAACAAAGAGGCTAAGTGTCGGCAATATGCAGCTACTGCTTCATGAATCTCAGTGAATTTCAAAAGGTTTTCTTTTAGCTGCAGCAGTCAAGGAAAAGGTGGAAAACACGAAAAAGTTTCATATGTATTTAAACTTGCTTCTTAGATCTGGAAATGGGTCAGAAATGTGCTCTATTAAGCTACATAGATGTGTAATCTGAAGCAATAGTTTAATTTTCATTCAGTTATTTAGAACAATTTCCATTGCAGCATTTGCACCGTTAGATTTGTCGCAGAATGCTGGAGTGTTTGCCGCCTTTCATCGCGTGCTTGCTTTCTGGAGATCTGTGTCTGTTCCGAAATGACAGCCAACTTTTCATTTTTGGATCGTCAGAGAAGCACAGTGTGCATGAGTACGCTTGTTTTGTGTACGGATCGGAGGTGACTTAACCCTGCTGCTGTACGTGGTTAGCCCCATTGTGCTCGGAGAACAGTATGTGGTTTATGCAGGTTTTTTTTTTTTTTTGTCGGCCATAGTTCTGTCCGCTGCTCTTATGTAAAGGCAACATCCCCAGGCAGCGAGCTGGGTCCCAGGTGGTGACAAGATGTTGGCCTTGCCCTTTTCTCCCCTCTGCTTTCTCCCCCCCGACTCTCATTTTCTTCACCCACCTTTCTTTTTTTTGATTTATTCTTATCTCTGCCTGTCTGAATTCATCCTCTCGCTGCCGTTGACCTGTCTGCCATGTACTGGAAATCAAGAAGGGTCAAGAGAGGTTTTTAACACAGGAGCCGTGCCGTATGTCTGTTAACATGAGCGGTATGAATGGAATCTCAGCTTTCACTCTGACAACAATAACAATAGATCGCAGTGCTACTATATTGACAGCCACTGGACGGAAAGTTGCGTTGGAATTTATTGCAGAAGCACTGAAACATTCCAAGTTTGTACATCAGCCAACAAACCCACGGAGAAAAGTGCCGAGAACACGTGCGGCTGTATCTGACTGATAGAGGATTTGTGTTTTATTTAGTCTCCCTATAGCGAGACAGGATGAGGCAGCCAGTAGCAGTTAAAAAGGACGGAAAGATGACGAACGTCCCGTTTAGCACAGCGAGTTGGACAATTCCTGATTTATATTTCTCTTGCTTTCTCTACATTTATATATATAAAATAAATGATTGCCAGTTAGTCAATTAATTATACAGTTATCTTGTCAATAGAAGAGCTCCAAAGTGTTGACAGGAATATTGAAATGTGTTGCATAATGGCACTTGGCGTATTATACATCTTAATTAGGAAAGACTTTTTGTTCACGTACATTGTCGGCTATTGTTACTGGGACTAATTAAACCTCATCCTCTCATATACTGTTTCATTCTTTCCCATTTCAGCTCGTGTTTTTTAAAATCTGCACATACCATACTTATGTGCCAGCCCTTAATTTGCTTGTTGTGCTTTGACTATTCAGCCTCCCGCCTATCTCTTTATGCTTTATTGCACTGTATGCACATCATGTTCTAGCGAGTTCCCCCTTTTGTTCCTTGACCTCGTCTGAAGTTGGTGTTGGTCCATACTGCCTGAATGCAGGGCATTGATGAAAATGGAAACAGGGCTGTAGTTCTTAGACATTCACCCTCATCCTTTCCTGTGAACCCGTAACGAACTCCCTGATATGAAAGGTCCCCGCTGCCAAGTACGGTGAGTTCCAGTCTAACTTTTGAATGCTGCTTAATTAACACGCCACCGGTAACCAATACACTCATCAGGCCGTTGCAGCCCACATTTTGCATTAGCTCCGTGAATTATAGCGAGTAGATGCTAGTCAGAGTAACTAATTTTGCTAAACCAGTAATTGGTTTTGGCAGCACGTTGGTCCAGTGCCAGGAGATGTTAATCAGGAGGATCTTATGAAAGACCGCGAGACACACTGGCAGGCAATAGGTTGTTATTGTACCGACTCAGGACTGTAACATTCTGACCGTATTACAGCATAATGTCACCTTTCCTGTACGAGTAAAGTGTTACGTAATCATACGACAGAATGGGGTCATAATTAAAATTATACTGAACAATGGATATTATATGTAATCCTACTAATATTTGGTTCATGTCTAGATTGGGTTTATCATTTACAAATGTGTTTAGAGCTGTTAGAGTCAAATTATTATTTGATGTAATGCCATCATAAATCAAGTTATGTCATTGTAAAGTAGAGTTTTTGAAATGCTGTTATTTTATAGCCCAGTAGAAAATGTTGAGAGGCTGCTACAAAGAGCGAGGCGGAGGAGTAATGTATTGCTTTGTTGGTAGCGTTGATAAATCAGCTGTGTATCAGGCACGCTTGTACAGGTTCATGGAAAAATATGATGTTCAGTCAGACAGCTTATGATTCAAGTTGAAGCAGTGTTTTGTGAGGTAGTAGTTGGTTCACGGTTTTGTTGTAGAAATACTGTCATGCATCATCCACAAAGAGGTCCTAGCCTCCATTTAGCCACATCAGGGAAGACAGAATGTAAACGACTCCTAAGGTGGTAACTAGTATATTTGAGCGTTCACACCTATTCACACAAAGCGAACACATAAACACAGGCCTGGTCATGACTACCTGTCTGCCTGAATGTCTCTGTCTGACCCACATAATGACCTGTCTGCCTGCCTCTCTGTCTGTCCGTCTGTCCGTCCGTCTGTCTTTATAATCATTTGTGTTCGTGTCCACCTGACTCTGACTCTACCTGACTCCCACCAAGGCCTGTTTGTGCTCCTGTCAACTCGCGTGTCTCCCTGCTTCTATCTGTCTGTATGCTCATTTGTGTTTTGTCACACTGTCCGTTTGCTTTTTTATCTTTCCTCTGCTGCTGTCTCTGTATGACTGTATACTTGCATGTCTCTCCGTCCCAAAGGTTTGTAAGTGCATTGCTCTTCTGACTTCTGCTGGTCAGAAACTGAAATAAGTTTGTCTTTTTTTTGTGGCAAAACCACTTTTCCCATAATAACCTTGCCTTATTATGGTTTTAGTTATCTATTACCTTAAGGCTCATTGTACAGAATTCAGTATAATTAAGTCACCGTTGTAAATTTATTGTTTATTAGCTGTCCAGCTCTTTGGAAATTCCATTCCTTTGGGGCATTTCTTGTATTAATAAAAACATATGACATCACATGACCTGCTATTTTTTAATCTTGGTGTAATTGTCGGCACGGAGTGGCTGCTTTTTTTTCAAATTTATATAAAAACAGAATTGAATTATCAGGATGATGCACCACCAGCTGGGTGGTGGGTGGCTGATGGGGGTGTTAATAATAGTCAGATGGAAGTCAGGCAGTTTGCCATTTACGGATGAAATGTCTTATTCTCCTAATAGTGATTGGCTTGGCTTGTCAGCTGTAAATTCATTTCAATCTTCCTCATGAATTTTATTTATTTATTTAAGCAAAAGGACAAAAGATTGGCTGGAAGATTAATAACTACTGACATGAAGCGTCTTAATTTCATTAAACTAAGTACGGCGATACAGAACACTCGTGATGTTTACCAGATAGCCCAAATGCATTTCAGAAGTGGATTATCAGTCACTTCTCTTTATCATTAGTAGCTGTCATCATCAGCTTTTTTCTTTCTCTTCAAATCAGACATGTTGTGCAGGAGTTTAGGGCAATTGTGTTGTTGCCACGTCTGTGTCAGCTCCTGCATACCTGTCCTTGAGAGGTTGCTAAGCAAGGAATCATAATTTAGACAGCAAACAGGGCTGAGTTGTGCTTAGTTTGGCAACCAGGGTGCAGCACATCACGCTCTTCCTTCTTCCTGATTTTAATAGCTCTCTTTTCTTCTCGCTGTATTTATTCTCGCTATCTTGTGTTTCTTTCCTCTCCTCCACCTTTTCCTCCTCTCATCTTTGATTAGCTCTGTGTTTCTTGCGACTTCCATCCCCATCCTTTTCTCCCCCATCCCTCTCCTCCGTCTTCCAACCCTTTAGTCGTACTGTCATCTATTTTTAGCTCCTCGTGTGGTGGGCAGAGGAGGTACGTGAAAGCATGGGAGTGTGTCTGGATTGAGGAGGCGGTGGCGGGGGGGAAAGAAAGGTGCAGGCTGGTGTGAGACACTGTGTGGGTATGTTTGGGTCTCCCATCACGCTACACCAAATTTCCAAGCACGAGACAAACTCTGCAGTGTTCAGAAAGTCATCAGGGATAGGACGTAGACAATTCTGCAGTAAATCTGGCAGTAATTACTACCAGCTGAAGTTGCTAATTTTAGTACAAGATACTGAGTAATTCAATTTGATCATCAGATAATGCTGATCTAAATATACCTCTGTCGGTAATTATTCTCGCAAAGATTCAGTAAGCTCTTCACATGAGGACTGAAGGGAACTGGCGAGGGCTATCCCATGCAATAATAATAAACCTGGCTGTTGTCACTGCTGCGAGGGAGATTATAAAAAACGTGTGGTGGAATCACGCTACACAGGTATGGCTGATTGCATCAAAGCGCTTCTCATCTTAAGCGTATGTGCACCATCTGCTAATACATGCAAAATTAAATGACACACAAAAACATGGACAGCGTTACAGTCAAAATGTTCTGCACTGCAAAAAGTCCATATGTTTGAATCCTGCATGCACTCGATCTAGTACTACCCCAAGAATACTTTGTTTTTTTTAACGAGAAATTAAGTTGTTTGAACTCTTTCTGTCTCTTGCTATTTGAGAAAAAAGAAACACTTGTTTATCTGGAAAGATCATTGGAGAAAGTAGGCCATGTAGCTGTACATTACATAAGGGCCATTGTGGGACGGTGTTTAAATCGTGGAATGCAGCAGCATTGTGTGTTTTACCGTGTTTACATTTGTGAAGATATTTATGTTTAATGAATGCTTGTTGTTAACATGGCTGCCAGTGCTTTGCTTTCTAAAAATACCTAGAAAAAGTTTTCCTTCATGTTTTCGGCCATGAGATATCCACATGATGCTCCATCTCTCATCCACCAGTTGAACTCCGAGTGCCTTAAGAGATGATGTTACTTAACAGTGAAGACCGTCATTGTTAGACCTACTTTGAGAACAGACTTCATTAGTTTGAATACATTTCTTCTGTTGTTGTAGTTTGTGTTATTAAATGAAATCTGAATATAACTCCCAAAAGTATTTATTGCAGTTGTAATTGAAGTTCTTTTACATTCTATTGATTCTCATGAGAACACTTTAACAAAAGCACTGAGTGAAAGAAAGTTTAAAGATGCATTTTTGAGTGATTTTTAGCCACTAATAGTTTTAAATCTGAAGATCATTTTCTCGAGGAAAAAGAAAAACACGAGCAAATTATTCAACAATTTCCAAAATCAGTATGTAAAACTAATTAAATGTGACCTTTGACCCTCATGACCACCAATAAATGTTGGTAGATTCTCTGAAACCTCACTTTCTGTCCATTCCTCGATGCAAAAGCTTCCAACTCCCTAATGTTGTTTGTTTTTTTAATGCTGCCTTTGTAGTAAATTCAGGATTATTGTAATTGTTTGGTGTTCTCCTTATGATCAGTACAAAGACTTTATTCCTATTTACTTTTACTTTAGCGGTAATAGTTTTGGTCTCTCTTTCATGCCGCCAGTCATGTTTCTGGTATCTTGAAAACCTTCTTACTTGCTAAACATAGTTTGTTTGGTGTAATTGAATAATTGCATCTCTAAGATCTTACCGAAACAACTTCTTTGTCTTTGCTGTGCTTGCTGCTTAATGGCATAAACAAGAATTGCACATGTACCACAGCTGAAACACATTTAGTGATGTTAAACAGTTTGTTAACTGTTTTGATAAATACAAGTAAAGAATTAAACATGAACAGTATTTAAAGAGGGTTTAATAATTATGGCATAGCTGTTGCTGTCACAATTCAACTTTGCTATTTGAAAAGATTATCTTTTACATGTTCATGATCAATTTGATAATGTTTGATTACTCAACTCACACAAATGTATTTAGTAAAACTTCTCAGATACTTAAGGTTTATTACTTTTTACTGCAGGTCTAGTCTGTTTATTCAGGAGTCTCATGCACATATTTATTGTAGTGTTGCATCTTTTTTCTTTAGGTGCTTTCTCCAACACTAGTTTTTATTAAAAAATGTATAAATGGAGCTTTAAGTGATGATTTTCTCTGGGATTACCTTTTAGAAAATGTTTGTTTTTTTTAAAGCATTTTTTATTTCCTATCTGAACTTGAAAACTGGCGCTTTTCAATCTCTCGTTCACAGTTTGCACCTAGAAGGCAAACCCAGTTACTAATTGCATAATTACTTGCTGCGTTAGTGAGTCAGCTGCTAATTACACAGACCGTGAACGCAAATTAAATTACATGCGCTGTGCTTTCATTTATTTAATTCTGTCAGTCTCTTAAGCTTTTTTTTATATTAGTGCAGTTTATTATTAATAAATTACAATATAAAAATGCATAAACTAGCAGAAGTGTGTTGTTTTATTCAGTGTACATTAGAATACCAGCGTAAAAAACAAACAATTAAGGTGGCGTTAAGGCTTCATTTGTAACCCTGGAGGTAGAGGAGGTTGATTCAGATTCTGCTCGGTCTCTGTGCCGTTCATTTCAGCAGATTTTACCTACACGTAAGACTTGATTTAACTTGTGCAGAGCCATAAGCACAGCATCTGTGCAGTCCTTTAAGTATGCTAGGGTGCACAGCGCTATAGGGGACCAGCTGTTTGGTACTGCGTGTCCTTGGCTTACAGTGAGATTAATAACAGAAATAGTTCCTGTAAACTGCACCAGCACATGTGGTAATTGTTTCACTTAAACAAATACGACAACTTTTTTGGCACCGTAGAGGGAGAGACACCCAGATTCTCACCAGTCGAATCTCTTCTGAAAACGAGGTGAAATGCTGAAGAATATCAAGTCAATTTGAAAGGATTAAGGTTACTCTGAATGCTGCTAATTTTAGCACTGTGACACTGTATGTTTAAATCTTGGGGTAATTATCAGAAACACTGGCACACACAAAAAAAAAAAAAAAATCGGGGAGGAGTGGGAGGGTGGAGGAAGGAGGAAGGAGGCAGCCTCGTGTCTCAGCACTTGATCATTGGCTGGAGCCACGGGGGGAAGGGAGGAGCCACAGTGCCGCTGTTTCTGTAGAGAGAGGCAGAGGCAGCCAGAAGGAGTGTGAGAAAGAGGCAGCAAAGGAGGATAAATGAACACGGGGGGTTCTCCCAGCATCGGTATGCCTGCCTTCCTGACTTCCACCCCAGACGTAGTTGCTGCTCGTCCGAACTGAAATAACAGCTGAGGTGTGTTTGTATGTGTGCGTTTTAAACATCAGTCATCCCGCACGCTGCCTTCATCCCCTCAGCTCCCGGCTCTCTGCTGTGATCTTACTGCGAAGGACCAGACAGAAACTGAGACAAGAGCAAGCGGAGATGGAAGAGTGGTGAAGAGAGGGTGAAAGAGCAGCAAGAAAGCAGAGGAGAAGAGAAGGAAGACGACAAGCAGGCTCAAGGACAGGATCAAAAGGAGAAATTATGTGTAATCTTTCCCGCAATTTTTGTATGCAGCACCTGAAACAAAAATGTGTTTTCACCGGACACGGTGTCTGTGACTCTGTGGACTACAGACAGATAAGAGAAGCCTTCAATCTGGGATTCATGCAGCTGCAACAGATGTTGAAGACATCTCAGACTTTATAGGGAGTGGAGGCATTTCAAGCATAACTTGGACCGGAATTCCTTCAAAGTCACATTTTTGTCTATTTTCTTTTTTGTGCCTTTAGCTGGGAAGTGCGCTTCACTGAAAGAGAACGGACGAGGAATACCCATTTGAGTGTGTGTAACCAGTTCTGCCTGTACTGAGGACAATTCCAGAGGACTTCCTCACCTTTCTTTGTCCTCTCCATCCTTCCTGCGTTTAAAATGGTAGATGGCAGCTGTCTCGTCGTGAAACCGCAGCATGGAGCTTTTTACTTGGACTGAAACCACACAGCGACTTTCAGAGCCAGCCAGCTACCTGACAAAATAGTGGGTTCTTGGATTCATCGTACCCACAAAGGGCCCCTCAGACACGTATTCCTGCCCAAGATGATGAATTCCTCCCTGGATCCACTGAACCAGAGCTCTGCTGACTCATCAAACTTATCTGCTCCCTTCTGCTTACTTGAGATAGGCTATTCCCAAATTTTCACCACCTGCCTCCTTGAAGTCTCTATCATACTTCTCCTCACTGTGCTCATTATTTCCGGTAACCTGGTGGTGATTTTCGTGTTTCACTGCGCCCCGTTGCTCAGCCAGCACACCACCAGTGCTTTCATCCAGACAATGGCATACGCTGATCTGCTGGTGGGAGTCAGCTGCCTTTTCCCCTCCCTGTCCCTGCTCCATCACCTCCAGGGCCTCAACCCCAAACTCACCTGCCAGGTGTTTGGGTACATGGTGTCTGTTCTAAAATCCGTTTCCATGGTGTCTTTAGCGTGTGTGAGTGTAGACCGCTACATCGCCATCACACGACCTTTGACTTATGCATCCCTGGTGACGCCTTGCCGTGTGCGCTGCTGTATTGTTCTAATATGGCTGTACTCTGCTCTGGTGTTTCTCCCCTCTTTTCTCGGATGGGGGAAACCTGGTTACCACGGCGATGTGGTAGAGTGGTGCGCAAATGAGTGGAGCACTCATCCGGCTTTCACAACCTTTATTGTTGCACTGCTCTACGCCCCAGCTGCTCTCACGGTCTGCTTCACCTATGCCAACATCTTCAAGATCTGCCGACAGCACACCCGAGAAATCAGCGAGCGCCACGCTCGGTACCGGCCCCAACAGCTGCAGGGCCCGGGGACGACTCCGGGATCTGTGATCAAGGACAACAGTGCAGTAGAGCAAGGGCAGTTGCCCCACTTGTCCCAACCACAAAAGCCTCATCACCAGTATCAGCAGCCCACATCGACATACCCAGACAAACGCTACGCGATGGTGTTGTTTCGCATCACCAGCGTGTTTTACATCCTCTGGTTGCCCTACATCCTCTACTTTCTGTTGGAGAGCGGAGGGATCTACCAGAGCCCTGCAGCCTCGTTCCTCACCACATGGCTGGCTATCAGCAACAGCTTCTGCAACTGTCTCATTTACAGCCTCTCCAACTCTGCCTTCAGAAAGGGCCTCAAACGCCTCTGCTCCTTCTGTTTACAGAGCAGTAGTGGTGGCTTTGGGGTTAGGAACACCAAAAAGGCTTTCGTTGGTTCTGTTGAAAAGGGGTGTGCAGGGCCGGGATATGGATATGGCCACGGGGAAGTGGGAATTGGTACAACATGTCATGTGTAGTGCAAAAACAGACAAAGGTGTTGTGCCAAATTGGCATTTCAAATTCCACAAAATGCTTGGGGAAATCGCTGTAAAATGTTGCTAAAATGTGCTGTAAAGAGATTGAAGGAGGTGTCGGTCTGGCACTGCTGTTCCCTTCACATTTGGAGGTCACACAGACATCCTCTCAGCACAGGTCGCAGCTGGCAAAGACGGAGAATGACAGTCAAGGACAAAGCAAGAAGGAAAGGAAGGCCTAAATTTCCCTTCGTGATGTGTTTCTAATGGTCAAGGAAACACAGCGTGCTGTGTGTGGACAGGAGTGACAGATGGAAGGAGCTGGATGGAAAGGAGGAGAACAAGGCGTCTGTACACGTGAACTCTTTTTAGGATGAACTAAATGTTTATCTGCTGGTTCTTTGGAAGTGAATCCTTAACTTATTTTGTTTAAAACAACAAAATGTTACAAGAAAAGCTGTTTGTGCTGTTTGTGAATCACTTTGTGTTGAATGCAACCAAGAAGACATGAATGCAAACAGATCAAGTGACTGACTGCTGTGATTTAGTGATGTTGTACTGAGGTGAGAGGCCAATAGCAAGCTCTTTAATTTTACTTTTATCTGCTCTTACCCCCTCAGTATTGAATATTTAAAAATGATACAACAGTGTGTTTCGTGTTGTCTCTTGCTATTGATTGATTGATTGATCGATTGACTGAGCTGAGTTTAAAAGAAATGGAAAGAAATGGTGTTGGTAGATCTAGATCTAGACAACACATTGTTTTATAGGTTATTTGCATTGACTGAACTGAGAATGATTCGTCTGAAGACAAGACATCTGTTCATGAACTTTGAATTTTTAGATTATTTATTGATGTTGTTGAGAAAATGTTGTGTCTTTAATTAAGTTGTGGGTTCACACAATGCGCCCATCGTTTATAATATGACCTGCCACCCAGCTTTGGTGTACGACTGTTAACCTGACATAAAGCAAATGTAATTTTTAGTGAATTTCAAGTAATATTTCAGATCTTTCTCAATTTCATTGCACCTTTTTTTTGGATTGTGTAGCTGAAGTTATTTTGTAAGTGTTTCCAAGGCAAAGAAAGACCAAGAAAGGATGTATTTTTACACTTATTTTATACTGATTGTTGGTACATCTTTGAGCTGATTTTTTTTTTTTTTGTAAAGGCTTTTGATTGAAGGTAAAAATGTAAAGCATTTAATTGGATAACCCTTTAGCTATGATCTTATTTCTGGCAGAGAGGAAGAGTCTGATAAGAAATCAGACGTGTGTGATTGTAAAGATTTTACATTTACGTCATTGCGCAGATAATTACCTTGCTGTAAATGTAGGTATACGCCGTATCGTGACTGCATTATTGTGCCTGCATTTGGGGACTAGTGCACATGCACACGCACAGATGCGCACACCAACACAGGAGGATCACATGCAAACAGAACAGACAAACAGCCCATTCACTTTGTCAGGAGGTCGACCTCTGAGCAGCACCATGAGGCGAGTTTTGACCCCCGAATTTCTGAGATTTGCAGTCGCATGTGCGTGCACATCTACACGCATGCACTGATTGAAGTTTGTTTTTGTCATCTTGTTTAATTTTTTTATATTTGTAGGTTAATTTCACCCCTTGATGCTAAATACAAAAGAATCAAGAACGATAATTAGCTGAAATGAATCCAAGCGTACATACTCTGAAAAATGATTTGTGTCTATGAAGACTCACGTCACATGTTTATTTAGGGGCAAATATTCTAGCTTTATATATCTTATCTAATCTACCAAAGAAAGTTCAATAGATAATATTGGAATATAATATTTTTCTAAATGTCTAATATATGAAGATTTAGTAATATGCTAGTGGGTTTTACACAAAGTTTGTGTGAAAGGTCCACTGCGCTGTGTTGGCTCAGTGATGCCTTGTGTGCATGATTATGACTGTTTCTCAGAATACCGTGACATAATGTTGCCTTGATATAAAAATGAACATGAAGTGTTGGGGGAAAACATTTTCCGCTAACAACAAGGGAGGGCTTAGTTCGTAGACCCGTGACTGTTTTTAGAGGACAGACTGGCAATTATATGCATATTCAGAGCTGTAAATGTGTATTAGCCGAACCTCTGACATTTGAGTCCACATTAATTGAACCTGAACCACATTTGTTGTGCAAAAATAATCCAAACCGGGACTGTTAATTCAGGTCTGCTCCATAGTTTGTGGTTATTTTTCCCTCTTCTCTGTAAAACTGAAAATAAGCAAACACGTGACTCAAAACGGTTTATTTTTTAAATTATTTTGCATGTATTTGTTCCTGTGTACCTGACACATATGAGTGTGTGTGTGTAGGTATGTCAGGAAGTGACCATTGGCTGAATTTGGACTGTTCAAGGTGTTCTAGCAAGGGTGCTAACAAGAGTTATCACCTGTCATTGCTTTCTTAGCGGCACATTCCTTCCCTCCAGTATACTGTATTTTTCTACTGTGTGTGTATGTGTGAGTGTGACGTACAGTGGTAGATAGGTTCACATGTTGTCTTTGAATATACTGGCTGTCGTCCGCGCAGCATTGCCAAATATTGTAATCTTTCCTGTTTGTACCTGATTTCGTTCCACTATTTGAACAATTGCCAGTGTACAGAAAATGTCGTATTGAATGTCTGATTGTCAAAGTACAGCGAATTTATTTTGTACAATCACTTAATTTCTTGTCTGTTCTCTTGTGAAGTGATAGATGTTGCACAGTCTTGGTAGGTTTAGGAGCATGCTTACTGATTGAAATGACTGAAGTTGTGTCTTTATAAATTGATTTGTATTTTCTTTTGGGCGTGTCTCTGCTGTAAACGTTGTCATTTTTATTTGGAAGGCCGATGCGGTTCACTTCTTAAAGGATGTTAATTCCCACAACAGTTAATGATACAGTTCCGTAGAGAATCTGTATTGAGGGCAAAGCGTTTAAGGAAACGATCGTTCCTAAATGCGCTCACATTAGTGGCCACGCACCCACATTCACATCCTTTTTGTGGAAAAACAATCGACTTTCATCCTCTCTAGAAAATGACACTGGTGACTGTCAGGAACTATGGTGCCAACAAGAGGAAACAGGGGCGCTAAATCTGGTCTAGGAAGTCATGTGTAGCTTAAGTGCAGCCTTTTTCGATGAAAGAAGGACAAAAAACTGGTGGTGAGCTCAATAATCAGTAGGTACAGTTACAACATTAATCAGTAAAATCAGGAAGGCCGTTAACAGGTGAACTGATATGTAGGCATGAAACCATAAACAAGCAACAGGTGCAAAGAAGGAAGATTAAAATGGGCCTCACTTCCATAACCAGTGTCTACTTTATTTCCAGAGTCTTTTTATTGTACACAATTGCTTTGACTGTAATGTAAACACATGAAGAGATTTAACTTTATTTTAAACCTTTTACAGTTTATCCAGAAACGTTAGAGTGCAGCTGCTGCTTATTTAGCTTCTTCTGGCATATCATTGTGTTGGCAAACAGCTTTAGGTGCATCACAACTTTTCTTTAGTACCCAGATGTGTGTCTGTCTTGGGAACAGGCAGAGTCAGAATATAGCTGTAAGTAGCTGTAGCTGTTGTCACATACTGTTGTGACTGTGACGTTCAAAAGCGTAATTTCTTATCTTTCTTTATGATCATAATTATTATATTTTTTAGCTGCGTTACAGTAAGCCTCTGCACTACTTTTCTTATGTGCCACATGGTAACAGCAAATTATCAGACTGACTTATAAAGTGACGGCTCGTCTTATTCTTTTTGCAGAAAAGCCTACTTGTGAGTGTTTAGTGTTGGCAGCTTGGGACCCCAGACTCTGTCTTCGTGTATACTCGTTGAACAGCAGCTCTACCTTTTGAGGGTTTGTTGTCTTCCCTGTCTTCGTGGGAACAAATCGTCAACTTTCCAACTGATTTAAAATCACAAATGTTAGGTGATTCTCTTCTCCACTTATCTTATGTGGCCTTTTGCAGCAACATGTGTGTGTTTTGGCCCTTCATATGTCAGCTACACAACCTTCTTCCTGTAGCTGAATGGGGTTATTTAGCAGATTAGGGCCGACCCAAGTTATCACAAATTACATCAGCTTATCGTCGTTAGGAGAGTATTTTATTTTTAATAATCAACAAGATGGCTTTATCACCCAGCCCGACTCTAAATAGGCAGAAACATTAATGACTGGCTCATGACACGGCTGTTCTAAGGGGGAGATCATTATCACATTTCACATGAAACGGATCACTGTGTGACTTAACCTTGGTCCTAAAATATTCCAAACAAAGGAATTTCAGTCCGACAATTTGTTTTTGTCCGCAGTGAATGCTGAAAATTTCTCACAGTGAACAATGGGGTCTTTGTTAGCTCCAGATTGAGAGCATGAAGCCATTACTATGTTGAATAATGACAACACATGTCATTTTTTCACAATGGCGTCGAATTTATTTTAAGGTTTCGTGTAAGACGGCTGCTTTTTTACAGATGGTGAATGTTGGTCAAACATGTTTAAGTTTGCTGAAAGCGAGTCTTTTCATCACGTGATGCTTTGTAACCTGTATGGTTTTGTAAGATGTACACGTTGTGTATCTGTACCGAGCAAATAAATGTGATATGGTCTCAGTGTCTTCAAATGACAGTGGACTAATTGCTATTAACAGGGAGTGGATGTCTCAGATGATGCATGTTTGTGTGCGAGTGTGGGTGAAAGAAAGGAAATACAAGCCAAGCATCAAGCCTGCATTTTTCTTTTGATTGTCAGTTACTCGACCTTGTCCCAAGTCAAATATCAGATCTTTCCAGATAGAAATCAGTTGTAAATACAGAAACAGCACATTTCTGCCAGCAGTTAGTCTGCTGGATCTGTGTCCTGGCAAAACCGTAGTGGGAAACATTCGTATGGCCATTTGAAATAAGAAACCTTCTGGCGCTGTATTCATTACGTGGTTATTTGCATTGCCTCTTCTTTTGTCATCTTCCTTCTATCAGATACATGCTTTGCTCGCCGCCGTTCTGCTGAAGCGGTACACCAGAGTACAAATGGTACAAAAAGTAGGGCATGAGACAGACTATTAAGATTTAATGATGGATGACGCTAAGGTGAGGAAACGGCGCTGTGGGTAGCTTGAACATCTGTCAAATGCAGATTATTGTAAAGAAAAGAAGGCGGTAAATGTAATTCACATTTGCCTTGCTAATTTTAGTGAAACTCTGAACTTACGTGATTCAAATTAGAATCCGGTGAAATAATCAAAAGGTAGCACTCTGGGTTATTTGGGTTAGGGAGCAAGGTTTACAGCGAGCTTGATAAATATCGCCCCGTGTTCTCTTGGCATCTCAGCAGGGTCCTTTAGGAGCAGAGAAAGAATAACAGAATGACATGTCAGCTATTGTGTTGAGTCAGAGAAAATCAGGGACATAAACAATAGAGGGCTCGCTATTCAGCCTTCTCACGGAAGCCCTACTCTGGTACTTTATTTCTAGCTTTAGACTCACGTAAGTGCACACAAACACACACCAACACGCTGCCATTTTTTTTTTTTGGCTTACCCACAGAGAAGAGATTTTATTGTAGTTCTGTTAGAAGAACATGTTTTGTCCCTTGACTTCCAGTCGGTTCATAGATCTTTTTTTGATTTCCCTACAGTACTACTCTGGCATTTGCTCGTCTCTGACAGCAGTTTTGACGCATTCGTAGTGTTGGCTAGGACGCATGAACAGAGGCAGACTGGTGAGCATGAGTAGCTGGGCTTTCAAACCCGCCTCCTTATTTGCTATTGATTATAATGTAAATTGATGGTCGCTTTGATGGGAGGTAAAACTGTCGGCTTGTGACCACAGGCAGAAATGAACGTCTCGTACAACATAATTAACATTCTTATTATAGTTTTTATCTTGAACTTACTATGTATTTCTTGATGTCTGTTGTTAAATATGTCTGTGCAAAAGGATAATGTTGTAGGAACCCTATTTGTTTTCTTCTTTTTATTAAAAAGGGACAGTGCACATTATTGAACAAACATAAAAAAAATACAGATTGTAAATGCATCAGAGTTAACAGAAATGCTAGTTTGCATCCCCAAAAAATCAGAAATGTTCAGCTTGATGATCAGCAGTGATTATTAGTATTAAACCACAGCAGGATATTTTTTTTGTTCAGTTTGGATTTCCTGTTATAATTTGGTTTGGTGCAGCACATTTCACACAAAAGCCGCTTAATTGCTTCACATGATAATAAAAGAGGCAATACATTAACTGTACAAAGAGACATATACACACATTTACAGATGCTCATATACATGCACATACATAAATATGTACATCACTGTACTGACTAAAATAGTCATTAGTTAAAAGAACATATTCTGAGGTCAGCAAGCAAATTGTTCCGTTCTTAAGCTGCGTAAATGTTAGCTGGGCACATGGAGAAGATTGGCATCTTGTGACCTGAAATGTCTGCTGGGCTTGTCGCCTGACAGCATGTCTTAAATGTACTATGGAGCCAAGCCATTAAGGGCTTTTGTATACCAGCAGGAGGATTTTAAATGATGTCCTGAAAGCTAAGGGTACCAGGCTAATGGACTCCAGTCTGATATTTTTACTTTAGTTTCAGTCTATGAATTGTGTAAGTTGAAAGAGCTACAAACTGGGAAATGCAACGGCACAGCCTCCTACTTACGAATGCATGCACGAGTTTCTCAGCATCAGACTTTGTCAAAAAAATATTCTTAATTGGTAAAAGGCAGCTTTAGAAATCTCTCAAGTGTCTTCATACTAGCTGAATTTGTCCCTGGGTTTGGCACAAAATCCCGTATACGGTCCTGTGAAGTATTAGCCACTTCAGATGTTTAAAGTTGTATCCATCACTCATTCCCACAACAGCCGGTTACATGACTGGACTAACCCCAGGCATCAAGCCAGAGTCTGAAAATCAGCGGCAGGTCAGCAACAAGAATGAAAAAGTCCTGCAGCAGATGTTGTGGCCTCCTGATCTCCACATCATCCAGTCAGTCCAGGATTACATAAAGAGACAGGAGCACCTAAGACCACCTAAATCCACAGAAGAACTGCGCTAAGCCCTCCAAGATGTTCGTAGCAACGGAGCTGCCAAGTACCTGTGCCGAAGTGTACCGAGGAGAATCGGTGCTGTTTTAACAGCGAAGGGTGGTCCAGCAAATGTTGATTTGATTTTTTAAAAAATCTGTAGTACTTTTGATGCCATGAATCACTTTTTTTTCTCTTTTTAACTTCACACAAAGTCTTATAAATAGAAAGATAATATAAATTTAGATGCATGCACTTGGGGCTACTGTAATAAGTCTTTTTTTTAAAACGTCTGTATAGATATAAACTTTCTTCCGTGCCCTCATTTTCTCATTTTCGCCTCCTCTGTTTTTTTTTTTCTCTTTTTTGCTTTAGCTTCCGTACACTATCATGAGATAGCGGATCTGTTTTCTCTCCCGTCTCACGCTACCCTCATTCTAAACTTCTCTTTAACTGAGCAGACAGAAAGACAGAGAGGAAGCTAATTGGCTACTATGTCAGAGGTCTTTGTGCGTGCTCTCAGCACTTCAGATAAGTATGGCTAAGTGGTGCCTGTGTAAACATGGATCGTTATCATTCACTGAGAGACTGTAGCCCGGCGTAATGTGCCCTTCACGCTGGATGCAACATCTCCACGTGTGGCCTCTAGAATGCATCAAATAACTTTTTCTGTGAATTGAACAGATTTCTGGAGTACAATGTGTGCACCTTTTTTTTCGTAGCCTTGAGGCTAAAGTCCAGTCTGGTCGAATTTTACTGATACACTTTACGGTGAGGCCCCTCTACAGCTGTTGGAAAAAGGGGAGTAGTCACGCAGGAAGAGCAGAATTACACCAGCACCATAATATTCTAACAGCTTTACAAGTTAGGTTGTAGTGTTGGTCATAAGGCTGCAATCTGTTATTTCTATTAAGCAATAAGCGGCTAGTTATTAGTAATTTATTAATTTATTATTTATTAATTTGAGCTGTGATAAAGTTCCACTTACAACTTGACATGACAAATCTCATCAAATACCCAAATCTGACTGTATTTTGTTGCGACGACAGCAGTTCAACTTCCCTCTGAGAGCTTTTTATTTTGATTTTTTTGCTTGATAAACAACAAAAGCTGTTGTAAAATAGTTGCAAATGTCTTTTTTTTTCATCTTGTAATAGTGTAGTCAGTTCAGCTCCACCGAAGTTGAATTTTAAAGTCTTTGCTATAAAAGAAGAAGACGCCTTTGGGTGTTTTAGATATTACAATTAATTTAAACCTCAGATACCAGACTGGGATATGCTGTGTGTCAATGAATGGTGTAGTACAGTACACTTACAATACTACATAAACACCAATTTAACAGCTGATCCGCAGACTCTACTCCGACCAAAATCATTCTTAGCTATCCTCAGCATCCCAATATACTGTATACACGCCTACAACTTCCATACTTGATTTGTGAGGCCCTTATTGACATAAATGTAGATATGTGTACATGTAAATAATAAAAAGAAGACATAATCCACTACCTAACCGTTACCATCCAACCAAAAGCTTCACCCCTGCCTAAATCCCTAACCTCAACCTAATTCTTCACCCTAAAACCAAGTTTAAACCCTCAAACTAGTGCTTTGAAGGTATTTCTAAAAGCAAGGACCAGACAAAATACAGTCACTCTCAAGGTCTGAAACACAAGCTGGTCCTCAAACACAATTACTACGGGCGTGGTTGTTCTGTTGTTGGTCTCTGATCCCCATTAGCTCGCTTTGTTTAAGTATCCCTGTCTTCCTGCATTTCTTCTAATACTTGCATTATTTTTGTTACACACTCTTCCTCTGTGGAAGTTGGAAACAGAAACCTCAGGGAAAAAAAAAAAAAAGAAAACGAGAGGGAGGGAGGGACTTGATGGGTACAGTAACAGAGACCAAGAAGGTATAATTAGCTGCTAAGTGAGCGAGAGAGATTTGAAAAGCATCGGTGATTTAAATGAAGGGATTTTCTTTGGTATACGGCTTTGGTTTGCGTCTGCTTTGGAGCTGGGGTTGCAGAACGGCTTTGCTAGGAGGGCTTTTCGAGCCAAGATTAATAAGCTTCTGTCCAGCAGAAGTACCTTTGGGCAAGGCACGGGATGCTGCAAAAACTTTAGGACTAGGTTCTGAAATGCTGGTGTGTAGCGAGAAGATTATCAGGCATGGATCAATGGAGTATCATATTAATTAGTTAAATTAACATGAGCTTGGTGAGACATTATTGTTGCTTACCGCTGACTGAGTGGCAAACCCTCTTTGATGCTGCTGACTGCCTCATTACACACTGATGATGTGAGAGAAGGGCCCCAGCACAAAGAGTGCCTTCCTCCTACAAAGTCAAATGAATGTCACCCAACATCAGGCCCGCTTCGCCTTCAAATGCTGTATGAAGAGACGTTTAAGTGCGGTTTTGATTGGTCCTGTAATGACAGGGCGTCTAAGGGTAACATTACTTATTTAGAGGCTGTTTGTTCCAAATACACTGATCATCAATAATGAAATGAGCGGTGATTAATCTTTGAGAAGCGAGGCTAGTTTAGACGGGAGCATTTACTGATTTGTGTGTGTGGTATTTCCATGGTGTGGGGTTCTGTCATCACAGCGGAGGGATATCCCAAAGAAGTGTGTGTTCACCCCGGCTTGTGTTTGCTCTGCAGCTGTTGTTGTGGTCACACCTTCCTGTGTGTGTGTATACACTTGCTTCTGCAAATATTTAAGGCAATGTGATCTTTTTTTCTTTTGTCCTGTCCCTGAGGAATCCTGCCAAACCTTGTTTTTCTTCTTACCACATCAGTAGGTTGATTCTAGGGATGACAAGTCGGTTGGTCAACTGCTTGGGTCTATGCTGACGTATCTCATTACCTATTTGATGCTTTTTTTTAAAAAATTATTCTTTTGGCCTTTCGTGCCTTTATTTAATAGAACAGTGGAGAAGGGGGACAGGAAAGTGGGGGAGAATAATGGGGGATGGACCTGCAGCAAAGTGTCACGAACCGGATTCGAACTCGCTACCACACTGCGTCAGGGACTTTTAGCCCCTATACATGTGATGCCACCTACTTGATCCTTTTATGTACATTTTGTACGTACAGGTTTTGTTCCCTGAGTCCTAATGAATCTGATGTCGCCCTGACTTTTCCTCTAATACCACTGTGAGGTTAATGTGAGTCATTTAGGGCGAAACAGTTCAACAACTATCAGTTTGCCGTAACATTTATTACAAGCATCATCCAATCACTTTGGTGACCCCTCTTATCGGGCATCATTATCAGGAAAAATGTTGATTTACTTGCTAAGATGGTAAACATATGTTGATAAACAATGGTGAAAATGTACCAGCTTACCGCCAGACTGATAACAGTCCATCCATCCATCTATTATCTATACATCGCTTAATCCTCACTAGATTCACAGGGGGCTGGAGTCTATCCCAGCTGACTCAGGGTGAAGGCAGGGGACACCTGGACAGGGAACCAGTCTATCACAGGGCTACACTTAGAGACAGACAACCAAGCACACTCACATTCACACCTACGGACAATTTAGAATCACCAATTAACCTCAGCATGTTTCTGGACTGTCTGGGAGAACCCGGAGAGAACCCACGCTGCACGGGGAGAACATGCAAACTCCACGCAGAAAGATACCGGGTGTCAACACCGCGACGCACACCGGCGACCTTCTTGCTGCATGGCAACAATGCTAACCATGAGCCACCTTGCAGCCCCCTGATAACAATCCCAACTTTGAAATCATGTACATTTTCCTCACAGTATGTACTACAGCTGCCCTTATGAAGTACATACTTTTGCTTGCAGTAACATACTTCTTCATCAAGCTTCAACCGTCTTCATTGCTGCGTGTTGTATGAACTTTGTGCACTCGTCTTCAGCTTGTAACTTGAGCGAAGCAGTGAGACGAAAGTGACGTATCTTCTGCTGCTGCTGCTGATGATTGAGGGACAGAGTGGCCCGAAAAGCTTCCTCGCTTGCTTACTGCAATATAAGACTGGACGTACTAAGACATCCTGGTATTTTTGGCACACTGCATGTGACATAAAATATATTGGAACATGCAAACTCTTTTTCTGGCATAGCGTGTCGTGTGGTGAGATGAGTATTGAAAAGCACCCACTGCTGTTTTAGCTCACCGCATAGCATGGCCAACTTGCATGCCTATAAAGGCTTGTCTTGTTCTTTTTCCTTCAGTAACACCAGTCAGACTGAATGAAATCACATCAATTTTTCAGGGAAAAAAAAGAGCGCAGATGCACAGCAAAACAACACCCCCTACTTTCTTTTTCTTGAAACATTAAACACATTTCTTTCTTGTGCATATACTTTGATTTACACCTTCGCTCATCATCTGACGTCAGTCAGAATCATCCAGCGATTGTTTTCCTGCCAAAAGGTCTGAGACTTGGTTCTGCTGATGCACTTCAGATTGTTGATTGCAGAAAGTTTTGACAGTGAAAACCAAACACCCTCTTATCAGCCTAATGTTTTACAGTACAGTGTTTCAGTCTCAGCCTATTTATTCTATCCTATAACCTCCCTGTTGACACCACTGGGAAGTAGGTCAGTGTATCAAAGATTTGTTCAACAGCAAATGCAAAGCTTTAAGCAAATGTGTCACGAAAAACACATGTCAAACAGTAACCCTACTTTTTAGTTCCACTATTGGTAATTGGAAAAACTTCTCCCTCTTTCTTCTCTCTGTGTTTTGTGTTCTGTGTGTATGATCTGTTTTTCTTCATTTTTCCACAGCTGTCACTGCGGTCGGCTATTGTTATTGTTATGTATCTAAACCTTGGGAACACAAGATCCACTTGCTGTGTTCTTAAATTGAATGAAATTTTTAACAGGAATGGGCAAAGACAGACATGTAGCTGTGGACAGTCTGTACTGTAGAAGGGAACGTTCTGTGCCACCAGTTATTCATCCTGCCTTGTAATGTAAATCTCAGCAATGTGTGGAGCCGCCACAGACTGTAGAACACTGACCACTGCTGGGTCTCTGAGGAATTTTCCTTTTCATCGAGACCCAATAACATCAATGTGTTGCAGATTCTTAAGTTGCAGACTGTCTTCCTCTCGTTGCCACAGTGTCTTTACCTCATTTCACTCACCTTAACCCATTTCCCCCCGTCCTCTGTCTCTCTTGTAGGAGTCTCCTCAGGACAGTGCCATCACCAGGGACATTAACAGGACGTTTCCTGCGCACGACTACTTCAAAGACACTGGAGGAGACGGACAAGACTCGCTGTACAAAATCTGCAAGGTGGGGCGCTAACACCCGTATAGAACGTCTTTTTTTTTTTTTTTTTTCCTGCAGACGATCAAAAATGGATTCACACAGCTATATACCAAATGGCGTGCAAAATGCTATGTAGCACAACAAATCAAGACGAACACTCCGTCCCAGTTTGGCTGCCATCACACTTAAATTTACAACACAAACCTTCTTTCCTGAATCCTTTTACAGGACATATTCTATTATAGGCAGCTACTTCAGGAAGCATTTAGTAATATTTGCTTGAAGTTAAAATCCACATAATGCACAAGAAAACATCAGTGATCCTTAAAACTACCTGATTAGTCACAGTGAGGAGATGTGAGTAATTAATACAGTATAATCTCTGTCTTAAGTGATTTAGGGGGATTTATTAGACAACTTGGCCTTGACATGCATTTGCAATGTCATGACCACAAAGGAAGATGTTGTGTTCGCTTAAATCTTTCCTATATTATACAGGTGAGACATAAATAATTGATCTTTTTGGCAGCGGTAATGTTCGTTGCTCGAAAAACTCGGACATATTAATAATCAACACGTGCGACCGAGTCACGTTTCCCTGGAATACAGTGTAATTACTATGTAAATGACTTGCTTTACAGTAGGCCTGAAGTTTGTAGAGCAGCAGCGAGAGTTGCCGATGCTAAAATGACCTGTTTATTAATTAACGCCGCCACTCTGTTACTGGGTGGTTCAGCGAGTTCGCAACTGCCTGTCTAGAAAAGCAAAAAAAAAAAAAAAAAGTTCCCAATCGAACAAACACACACTAGCCCCAGCTGTAATCAGTCCAGCTGACTCACACACACAAACCTCACAACTTGTCGTGGAATACTTTTAACATCAACTATTCTTACGCTCTCTCTCTCTCTCTAATGACAATAAGCATGGACATATGAATATCTGTGCGGTACACATGCACTCATTGTAACCAAGAGTCCCATTATCTGTCACAAACGGCCTGACTGCAGTGTGTTCACAGTTTTCAGTTTCATTTCATTCATTATGCATAACTCAGGTGAGGGCATCCATCTCTTCCCAGACAAGCACCTCCTCAGGTGCGTTTGAATAATTCAGTGGGCCCTCCCTCTCCTGCGTGTATGGATTGATCCACGCTTTGTCTGTTTGACTTGTACTCATTATTTGTGTTTGTAGCTCAGTAGGCCACTACAGCCCTCTCGCTCGTTCTCGCCCTCACTTTCTCCACTCATATTTACTCCATTTCGTCCGCACCGACATTTCTCGGAACCACCCATCTCCGTGGCTTTTTCTCTCTGCCTCCATGTCAGTCTCTGCTTATTGTAATTCTTCCATCCCTCACTCCAGCTGGCCTTCATTTCTTTAGTTTCTTTTATATTCTGTGTTTTTATTCTTTGCTGTTATACCACCAGTATTAGCGTGTAGCACAATTAAGACGCTCACAGCCCAAAAGTCTCTTCATGGGCTCGTTAGCGTACACTGTCACACCTCAAGACCAGAAAATCCTGGATGTATGTGTTTTATTTTTAAGCGTGCTATTTCATCTTTGTACTCAATTTTTTTCTTTTCGGTTTTAAAACTGTGTTAAACGTTCAGTGGAGCTTGAGCCACGCAAACACATTTCTCACCACTCATCGAATACAGTACAAAATCAGTATTTACATGTGTTTATAGCCGGGGGCCGGTTTGCCAAGTCTTTCGATATCGCCGATCGTTGAATTTACCGTAAAACTTCTTTACTAACTCTGTGTCCGTTTGCTTTTCTCCTCTCCTTCAGGCTTACTCTGTTTACGATGAGGAGATTGGCTACTGCCAGGGACAGTCCTTCTTGGCCGCAGTGCTGCTGCTGCACGTGAGTTTACATACCAGCAAAGCCCAGGAAAAAAAAAAAATCGAGCTTTTCAAACAATGTCAAGAGATGAGAGGGACTGTTCTGCTTTTTATTTGACATTGATATCTTTTCAAGTTATTGCAACGCGGGATGATTAGCTCGGGTCCTTTTAATGTCTAATGTCTCTCAGAAACCAGGAAACAGGATGACGTACTCTTCAAAAAAGCAGCTGGAGAAAGAATTCTACTTGTATATGTAATGTTTAATATGGTTATATTCATGTGGCGCCTCAGTGTGACTTGCTTTGAGTTCGGTCCACAGAAATGCCAACACTGTCACCTAGTGGAGAAACATAGTCTGTCTTTTTCAAGGAGAGATGAGTGCAATGTGACACTGTTTGGGACAACACTTTATTAATCTACAGATATTTATACTGGAAAGCTGTGGAGTAAAATATTCCACTTCATGTGAAACCTGGTTCATTGAGCTGCCATGAGTTACTGATTGCTAAATCCTCGGTCTCCTTCAGATGCCAGAGGAGCAGGCGTTCAGTGTGCTGGTCAAGATCATGTTTGATTACGGGCTCAGGGACCTTTTCAAGCAGAATTTTGAGGATCTGCATTGCAAGTTCTTTCAACTTGAAAGGCTCATGCAGGTCAGTGTGTGTTTCATTTGCTTTTCCTGAATCTACACTTCAGCAGTTCTCTGTGTTCACACATAAACAGTATGTGTTAATCTGTTATGTACTCAGTAGTGCTACTTTTGCACTTTTTGTTCTTTCGATTACTTTTTTAACCCTGATGTTAACTTTGATTTGTTCTCCTCCTCCTCTTCTCCATTTTCCCAAATACTTCTTGTTTATTTACTTTTTTTTTTTTAATCTATTAACTTACATCTTCTATTTCTTTCTCCCTTCATGCTTCACTTCTCCTTCTCTCCCTCCATGTTCTCCTCTTTCTCTTTGTTATCTTCTCCCCTTCTTTGTCTGCCGTTTGCTTTTTCTGTGTTTACCAGGAATACATACCAGACCTGTATAACCATTTCCTGAATGTGGGTCTGGAGGCCCATATGTACGCCTCTCAGTGGTTCCTCACCCTCTTCACAGCCAAGTTCCCTCTTTACATGGTCTTCCACATAATTGACCTGCTACTGTGCGAGGTTGGTAATGAAAACACAAACACAGAGACGCAGCTGTAGCGCCTGAAATCCTCAAATACTCTTGAAAACACTTTACTGTCAATGAATTCAGTTCATTTGTTTTTTCTTTTTATATACACACAACATCCTATTGGCATGAAGTAGAGTAAATAGGTCTTTACAGTTACACTAAAACTGAGCTCAGATGTGTTTGTTTGATCATGATGTTTCTGTAGCATTGATTGACTGATTGGTTGACTGTGATAGCGTTTAAATACTAACAAAGTGATAGAAGTGTGAAATTTAAGTGTAACACCAAAGACTCTTCTAAGGTCAAAATGCAAAATTAGTAAAACATTATCGGCTTGAAGAACCCAGAGCATGGGGAAGGTTTCTTGTGTCATGCCACCAAGACAATGTTATGCATTTAATATAAAGCTCTACATCTGGAGAAACCTTTGTCTGATGAATCAGCTGAATAATGTGATGCTACATGGTAATGTGATGCTGTAATGAAGCATCATAGCAACAGGAGAACCTGTTTCAAATCACATACAATGTAAGATGAAGGTGAAAACCTTCCAAGATCGCAAACTGAAGTTAAACAATATAATCTGCAGGGATAAGTAGCAGACATTGTACATCTCCAAATACTCAAAGCTTTTAAAGTCATACCATTAAAACAGCTACAACTCTAATCTGAACAAGTATCTGTCGTTGGCTTGATGTCAGAGCATCTCTCGTAAATCAATCGCACAGCAAAACGACAGGAATTTATTTCAACCTGCAATAAATAAAGTGCTTCTTTAATCTTTTTTTTTTTTCTCAGGGCATTAGTGTGATCTTCAATGTAGCCTTGGCACTTCTGAAGGTAAGGCAGCCTGCACAAAAATGAGTTCACACACACACACACACACACACACACACTGACACACACACTGACACCCACAGCTCTGAGCAGAAACAGAAGCAGAGAGTCTGTGCCAACAGAAGCTCAGGCTTTGGAAAGATTTTACATGTTGGCACATGCGAGCAGGTGAGACACATGCACAGTGTCACCCTGCTGTTCTGGGCTAAAAACAGCACACATGCTTTTTGTTAAAAATGACTTTTGCTTCAAGAATAGAGTTCCATTAATGGAAAGAATTCTTCAGGGCAGTTTTTGTTTTAGATTGATTTGTAGACTCAAGCTGGGTTCTCACAAACCTTTTTTTTTTTTTTTTTTTTAAATCTCATCTGTCATATCTGTTCTTCACCAAACCAGAACATTGTCTGGGCTCGGGTAAATAATAAATCTATGCCTGACTTACCTTTGTGTTGTCATCTTTTTTTTCTTTCTCAGACATCAAAAGATGATCTAATCCAAACAGACTTCGAGGGGGCACTCAAATTCTTTCGTGTCCCAGTTCCGAAGAGGTACCGCTCGGAGGAAAACGCAAAGAAACTGATGGAGCTGGCCTGTAGCATGAAGGTGAGTTTAGAGCTGAAAGGAACACAATAGAACAGAAATAGTCTTTTTTTTTAACTTATTAGTATGCAGTAGATTTGTCTGTTCAGCCTTGCGTCTCAGACAAACATCTGGGTCTTCAGGTTCAGCTCACTATTCATTTCGGTGTTATTGATAAATGCCCTACGGTTATTGTCCCTGGAAATATTCAGATAACTCACAAACTGTATTGAATTTGGAGTATTGGAAACAGAAAACAACATACAGCAACCCCCTCAATATGTCTGATCATCACAGCATCAGGTCATTGGGATTTTTCTCATCTAAAATCTGCATCTCATCTGCAGTGTTGTTTAAACACCACTAGGGGCCACTGTTGAGCTGCACCACAAGTTTAACCGATAAAACGAACACACATGCCTCTCCCTTTCTGTATCTTAAACACACACACACGCACACTCACACCTGTGTCCTGACCTGTTTTGAAGAGTCTGGCCCAGTTTAGAGGACCTGACTTTGAAGGTAACTTTGGGCAGAGATATTTATTAGCACAAACTCTGTGAAGGAGCCAGCGTGGAGAGAGGTTTGAACTTTTTGGTTTCCAGTTAGACAGGTGGGCAGCAGGGAGATCACACAACGAGCTCCTTTAGCAGGGAAAAAAAATCCAGTAGAAGCAGATCAGATGTACCTGGAGCAGCTGTGTGGTCTTGAAGATGCTTCAGCACTCGCCTTAGAGGCAGCGATTCCGAATATAAATCGTGAGCAGGGCTGATAAGGCCTCTCAAGTGGGAGGCTATGAAAGCAGAGATTTTCTAGTTTACGCTGCTTTTGCTTTGTTTCACTTGTGCGCTTTCTTTGGTTAACAAGATTAACTGTGCTTATACTTTGAGGGATTCTCTGTGCTCATTTGAATTGAATACATTCATATAGAAGTATGTCAATCCCCCCCCTTTAAAGGACGCTGCTTTAGCAAGTTATTTTGAGAACGTTATTTGGCACAAGAAAAATAATTCCAAGAAGTCATTTGGCAAATTGACCTCTGTGACTACTGTTATGTTGGACCTGGAAATTAAATCTGAGTCAAGGTAGGCTAATCTGAAGCTTGGATGTCACTATAGAGGGATTAACTGACCAGATTACTGCTGCCCTCACTGACTCCTGATACGGCCACCTGATTGGACCGCAAATCTTTCTGGGTTGCAATGTGCTTGAACTTGATTTATAGTTTTAGCTCAGATTTGTCATATGTCATGTTATATCTTTTCCAACTAGCAGCAGCAGCAGCCCTATGATATCATAGGAACGCTGAACTGGGATCAAATGTTAGATAGTACAAATAGTTTTTAATAGATTTTTATCTTTGTACCTGATGTTAAGGTCTAATATCCTGATCGTTGACCCTTTAAGCTTTTTAATCTCTCCTTTTGTAAAAGGAGAATCAAAATGATAGTGATCCTATTTAAAGAAAGGAATAAGAACCTGTCTAGTTAAGGGTTTAGTCAGTTAGATAATGCGCCTAGACTTTCAGTTAACTAGTGACGCACTGCTGAATATCTGTGCGAGTCTAAGAGAGTGAGTCTTTAACCTATTTACTTTGTAATTCCAGTCAAAGGCCGTTATCATTTGTATATTTTAAGCAAATATGTGACAAACACGCTCAAACTACAGTCAGTTCACAATATGTATTCAGGAGGCGATCTCCGGGTCAGACCGGGTCATTTCTATTGTCTCAGTGTGTAGTTGTTACACCAATTTTTTCTTCTTGTCTGCCAACCTTGTGACCTCCAGAGCTGGTTTATGCAAATTGAGCTCAGAAATTTGAATAAAAATCATGAAAGTGTGAAGTTTTTTTTTTTCTTTCTTTCTTGACAGCCGTTTTATTTTCCTATGTGCTTTAGTGTCTGTCACCTTATATTACCTCGTGGCTCTCTGCTTTTTACCCAGCGTGAACTTGTATGTAAAGACATCGGCGTGCAGCTACGTACAATTATAGCTTTTCTGTTGCTGTATTACAATTTCTGCAGGATTTCAAGGCGGCAGCTCTTTCCTACACGCTGTCTGTGTTGCACAAACAGAAGAGCTGCTGCCACGAAGCACGCTCGAGCTCACATGACAGGTAGCAGGTGGTTTTCGAATATGCCACTAGTTGTTAGTGTTTTTTAAGCAGATAATACTGATGTTACTGCAGCGGTATCTTGCTAATTTATAATTGATCCAGTTATAGATTCTAAAGTCCTGTGAAGTCTTTATTAATTATTGCTGTACTTTAGAGGGCCTTGGACGCTCTGTGTTCCTAACTGCCCTTGAAAGAGACCCACCCAGCTATGCGATACCGGTTCTGCCAACATCACGAATGCAGGGAGCATTTGGATTATTGGATATTTGTAGTGTGATACCAAACCTGAGGGTGCAACATGCAGGCAAACATGCAGAGACAGAAGTGCTTTGATGGTGCAACCGCATCGAGGTACACTAAAAACCCACCGAATGGACAGCCATGTCTTACTTTGGGTTTTTATTTTTCATGCTGGGAATCAGGCAGGTTGGTGTTTAATTGATCTCAGGTGCACCAGTGAACCTGATTTCTGTGTACGTTTTCGTTTTAATCGACTCATACAGGGTGTCAAGAAAAAGCGCGTCAAGTCTCACCTGGATTTCTGCATTTATTGGTGATAAAATGGGCTCTGATCTTCATCTAAGTCCTAAGTGTAGATAAACACAGCGTGCCTAAACTAATAACATACAAACAGTTCTAATCTTTCGGGTCTTTATTAAACACACTCATTAAACGTTCCCAGTGCCGGAGCAAGAAGTAAGTGAGCCTTCAGATGTAATTACTGGTTGAACCTCCTTTGGTAGCAGACACTTTCAAACGAGCCGGTGGATCCGACTTACGTAACTTTTATGTTCGTATTTTTAGGATGTTCGGTGTGAACGGCCTTGCTCGGGGTCATTTCACGTTATCTCTGTTGGATTTAGGTCTGGCCTTGTATTTCTCCAAAAGGCTGATTTCCTTTGCCTGAAGCCGTTTTGTTGTAGAATCGCTTCACAGATGCAGAGGCAGCAAAGCAGCGTGCCTGCAGGGAAAGTGGCCTCAGTGTTAGATCATCTCATTATTGATGGTTTAAGTGTGGGTGAACATCTGAAGTCTTTGATATCACTTTGTAGCCTTTTACACTTCATGCAAATCAACCAATCTTGATCGTAAGTCCTCTGACATCTCGTCTTCAGCAGATGCTTCTTGTAAGTAGTGAACTAAAAATAAGTGTTTTTATAGGCTCTAGTCCCACTTTGAATTCTTTTTTCTCAAACTGGTCTCCGAGTTTGTTAACTCTTGACTTCAACTTTCGTTGACGTCATTACAGTCGGGTACTTTTTCCGGTCAACACTGTGAATATTTGAATGATGCATTCGATATAGACAATACATCCAATTGTGTTTTATGCTAAAACAGATTGCATTTGTTCATAATTGTAACTTAGATGAAGCTCTGACTCTATTTTAGAATAAAGGGGTTCACTTCCTTTTTCTTGCCACCAGTGTATTTACACAGGAGGGTTTATTTGGTGTTGCAGCCACATTTCAACAATGATATAATCCTTAAAATCTGCATGTTGACATTTGTTGTTTTTGCACAAATTTCTTTGAAAACTGAAGAAAGCTGTGAGTTATTGCTGAGCATATAGCCATAGATTTCCCTGCAACCAAGCAGCTTGTCGGTCAAGTTAACAGTTACAACTGGGGCAGTAATTACTCCGTATGTTCTTTAACATGTTATTGAAATGTTGGATCGGACTAAAGGATGCCACAGTCAAGTAAGGATTAAAAATCTTGTGTCCTTGTTTACAAAAGATTGGGGAAAACTCTCCGCTGGCAGCCAGCTGAAGTCCGTCAGCCAGAGACGAGTGGGCTAGTTTATATTTCCTTTCTTCGTTGTGTGCATAATTACCAAACATTTGCTTTTCGGCTCTCGTCGCCCAACAGATCAGCCAGAAGAAGCTGAAGAAATTCGAGAAGGAGTACCACACCATTCGAGAGCAGCAGGAGCAACAGGAGGCCCCCATCGAGAGATACGAGGTAGAAATACATACACAACATTACAGCACAACTTAAGCAACTAAAAATTCTGCAGGACAATCATAAAACTGAAAGCATTAAACCTTGTTGGTTGTTCAGAGACAATCAGGAACATTTGATTACATCATTACATCTTTGAAGGGCTTCACAGGGCTGTTTTAATTTATACTTATGTCTTCTATGAGCAACTATTTTAGTATCTAAAGTATGATGTTTGATCTCATCTTCATGCAACTCTTTGGTGTAGATGCACACAGAGTTACGACTTGCATGGCACTAAAAAAGCCATTAGCTATACATTTGATAAGTTATGTAAAGGTTAACAGGCCTGTGGTGTAGATTTCAAGATCATACATCACAAACAGCATTTTTGTTGTATCGTAACGAGGATGGTTGTATTATTGCTCGGCCACCAGACCAAAAGTTAATTTGGTTGACAGCACTCATTCAGTTTGAGTACATTCACTTCAATTGTCATTTTCCCAGGCATGAACTAAACTTGTGCTGTTTTTGGTAGTAGGAACATCTGAGATATTTTTGTTTATTTCATCTCTTCAGTGTATCTGCTCATCATCTCAAATATGTTTCACATGCATGTCAGTACTCAGTAAAGCCATCTGTTGCTGTTAATGATGTACAAACATGTTATGTTCTGTTAAACATTACAGACAACTCTTCACTACGCCGTTACGTTCTCACCTGATCGCAGTGAACTTTTACACTCGCAGTCTCACTATATTATTGCATTGCTCTGGAAACGGCCGAGCCAGGAAGTGTCCATTCATTCTTGACTCTTCATGATTAACTCCTTCGCCCTCCTTGTTTTCTCTCCGCTGTCCTTCCTCTTTCATGGCCCTTCACTTCTCTGCTTTCTTTTCCGTCGTGCTGTTCCACTCTTTATCTCGTGCCGCCGTTGTTTTCTCATATCTGTCTGTTATTTTTCTGACATCTGTCCCTCCTGTTCTCTTCTTTCTCCCTGCTGCTTCCTCTTTCTCTCTCTCTCTCTCTCTCTCACCTCTATTGTCCAGCGGGAGAATCGCCGGCTGCAAGAGGCCAACATGCGCTTGGAGCAGGAGAATGACGACTTGGCACACGAGCTAGTTAGCAGCAAGATCGCTCTGCGCAAAGACCTCGACAACGTAAGCCTGACAGAAAGAAGATAATGCGTTGGTTTGGCTGGGTGTGACTGTGCGCACATGTTCATGAAAATGTCACTTCTGCAAGATTTTGTTGAAGAAGCAAGTGTGTCCTGTGTACGGCAACAGTTGTGCAAGAGCTGAATTAAAATGAGACACAGCCTTATTTACACCAGACCTCAAAATGTGTGTATGTGAGTGTACGGCACAGACTCACCATTAGTGTGTGTGTGTTATTTATTAATTTATTTATTTGACTTTCCTTGAAAAGAGACAGTAGAGAGGAAACCGAAAAAGAAAGTAGGGCAAGTCTAACTTTCACTGACCTCATCATCACTGGGTTATTTTGTCTTGTGTGTGGCAGGCCGAGGAGAAGGCAGACGCCCTGAATAAAGAGTTGTTGCTGACCAAACAGAAACTGGTGGACTCGGAGGATGAGAAGAGACGGCTGGAAGAGGAGTCCGCACAGGTTAGAGCAAATAACAAGGCACTTTAGTCCAGATTGAAACTGAGCCCGTGTGGAGGAAAACCTTTCAGCGAGTCCAGCAGATGTCTAAAGTGTATGTTTTTCCTCCAAATCTCATGCGGCGAGCGGGGTTACTGATAGTAGGAAAGGATGGCCTCTGGAGCCGCAGAAATTCTCAGGTGAAGAAATTGGTAAAAGAGGCTGCTTAAATCTGCTGGCTGGGGGTCAAGCAGGAGACTAGTATGCAATATTAATGTGACAGGCTGTGACTGAGCAGTCTGTGTAATGGACAGAGTCGGGACTCTGCAGGTTTTCATTAAAACCAAGAAGTGCATCGTCTGATTTTACTGGTACGGTGTCTTTCTATCACTGCGTTAATTGGTGTAATCAATTAGTGTTGTTTGTTTGGGATGAAAACCTGCAGACCCGTGACACGGGGTCGCTTGTCTTTTGATTAATTACACTGTTACTTAAAAACAAGACTGTAATTTATATTTTCTTAACCTATGTGTTACCAGAGGTAGTAAGTAGGAGATGGAATCTTTACAAAGCAGCCATTAGGTGATGAGTTTAGTGTCGTAAAGCCGTCACATCCAGTTTAGACTTATGTCAGATGTCAAGCACAGGCATCTGTCAGTACACGTCTGTCTTTCTACATTTGGTTCTCTCTTTGTGCTTGTCAGTTTCTCTGCATGTTAACCTTTCTCCTTACAGTCGACCTGTCTTCATGTCTCTACGTGAAAAGCACATTTTTGAGTTATTGTTATTCTGCCTCATTTGTTGTAAAATGCAGGTTTAAGGCTGCCATTGGCCACCATTTTTGTCATTCCTTCAGTTCTATTTTCTATAACCTCTAAGCAACAACCTGAACTGAACTGAAGTTTTCAAGTATTACTGAGGATTTGGTTCATGCAGTAGTGTTTTTACATTTATCCATTTTAACGACAGCTCTCGTCTCCCTGCTTGCAAACGTTCCATCGAATCAGTTCAACTCGTCACTATTTTGAGGAAACACCAAAAGCCGCATCCGTCACTTAACCCCACCCAAGACGACTGTGATTGGTTTAAAGAAATATAAACAAAGCATGTGTTTTTCCCCTGTAACACTATGATAGTGTGGTGCAGTCGGACCATTATGTTCTGCAGAATGGGCCGTCAAAGTGGTTGTTGATAAAGTTATAGTTGCATGTTTGGAAGTCGACCCGTTTAAGGGTTAATCTGTCCGTGTCATAAAAACAAATAATTTAACACGTCAGAATCTGTCCGTGTAACACAAAAAACAAATCAATTTTTCAAACATTTTCAAGGCGTCCTCTATCATTTGTGTCGTTTCTCTAAAGATCCATCCTCTGCGCAGTCAAACCTTCAGTGTCAAAGGCTGTCAGTTGCTCTTTGATGTTTATTTTCTTGAGTTCAGTGAAGAATCCCTTTGAGGTGGAGGACAGAGCTGCCGCCCTCTGCTCCCATGTGTGTTCAATGTTCTCCTCCAAACGTCTCCTGTCTGGTTGAATGTGTAGGTGGAACTCTGAGTGATTTATGTGCAAGAGTAGAGGTTGTGTGAAGGGCGCGACATTGCCCCGAGCTTCAAGTCTGCCAATACCTTTCTTTGTCTTCTTTACATTTCATGACACTCACATGGTCTCTGGGGCCTCCGAATCCGCTTTCTGTCCTTGTAGCTGCCTCAACAGTATTTGTGTGTGTTTGTGTTTCCACAGCTGAAGGAGATGTGCAGACGAGAGCTCGATAAGTCTGAGTCAGAGATTAAGAAGAACGGTTCCATCATTGGAGAATACAAGCAGGTAAGCAGGCACCTTGTGCTTTAAAGTTTATTGTGTGCAAACATCACATAAATGTTTAAATTAGTGTTGATTTTGTACTCGTATCCGTAAAGGACAAGTTTCTGTTCGTATCATATAACTGACACGTGTCTCTTTTCTCATAAGTGCAATTCGGGGAAGTGAAACTGTTGCGTGGGGTAGCCCGGTTTAAAACCGGAACCTGTTTTGAACTATTTACTTGTGATTTTCAGTTAAGTCACAACCTCATAACAGCACCTCCGATCGGCTTTACTTAACCACCAGCGCAGACAAACCCCCTCGAAGCTCTTTGAAATGGTGATCAGTGCAAAAAAATTTAATTGTAGGATTATACCAATGTGTACAAGCTGTGTAGCCTGATAAGTGTTCATTAATACAGAAGAGAAAATACAAAAAAAGGAAACGTATGAGGGGAAAAGAAGAAGACAGTAAAAAGTAAATGAATATTTAAATGAATAAACCACAGCAGGAGTTGTTCCTCAGTCACAGCATTTAGTTTTTTGCGTGTCCTGGAGATGCTGACATAGACTGATCGCATACCAGAGATGAAGCTTTGCTGGGAAGGATGCAACGTTTTTTATGACTCTCCAATATTGTGCCTACAGGTAAAGGTGATATAGCTCAACATCATCACATAGAAAAATAGCTTTTTTTAACATTTATTGAGCAAGAATACCAATAGATGCCCCCATTGCCCCTACTTTGGCGTTTTACATAATTGCGCTCAAGTCCAATTACTGACTTGCTGCAATTTTTGACCAGTCTTCCAGGGTTTTCTTGTATCTACTACCTGCTTCAAATTCCCCCACAACATTTCAGTTGGGTTCAGGTCTGGACGTTGACTCAGTCCTGGAGCCATTAGAGTAATCCTAAACCATGCTTCCAGCACTGTGCTTCACAGTCGGTATGAGGTTCATCTCCTGAAAAACTGTCTTCAGTCTGTGCCAAACTTATCTACTGGACAAAAAACTCTTCACATGATCAGAGCCTGTTGCCTGTGTCGTCATTTGCTCTCCAAAAACAACTTTAGAGCAAATTCTTTTTCCCAACACTCGTCCCATGGAGGTCAAATGTGTGCGATCCCCTCTGGATTCTGGATGCTATGACACCAACAGTTCTAAGAGTAAGCTGCAGTAGATCCAGTTTTAGTTTAGTTGGGGTGGCCGGTTCTGGACAAATGGTCATGATTTGAAATCTTTGCATGCAGAGGATTTTCCTGAGAGTGGAATGATTTATTTCACCTAATATGAAGATCTTTTAAGATTCCTGCCAGACTCAGGTATTCACAACCTTTTTTCCTGAAGAGCCTTTTAGATCTTGTCAGTCATGATGACACCTCAATAGCAAAGAGAAGCCCAGACCTGAGATGTCAAAGGTTTAAATATAACTCCCTGAAGGGGTTTTAATCATTGGCAGCTAATCAGGGAGACATGATTGTGATTTTGTGGATGTGAAGATGTCATGAATGTACTTATGTTCTCTACGTGATTGATCAGTTTAGGTATAAAAAATAAATAAATTAATTGTGAGTTAGTACAAAAAGTTGTTTTCATTTGTTTAGGTATATTATTTTATCATTTACTAAAAAGCTGTGTTTAAAGGAGGATCAGATGTTTAATTGTCCCAGTATGTTTAGAGCCTACACAATGTCCTACTGCTTACTGTACCGACTGCTTCACAATCCAAGACATACAGAGCTGTTTTTTTGTGTTACCAGTGTTTTATCTGTAGAATGTATCTGCATGTTTTTAATTTCAATACAGCAGCGACAGGCCCGCCACAGAAGAATTGGGTCACACACCTATTTCCTTGTGTGTTTGTACCAGTTAATGCTATAGTCTGAAAGGTCAGAAGCAGTATAAAGTTAGTACGTGGTCTTGGTCTTTTGTGTTGGAGTAGTGTGAGCGGAAACAACTCAAGCCTTTATGGGTTAAAAGGTTGCAGGCTGAACTCAACTGAAGACCCACAAAGACCCAAAAGGAATTACTCAAATGTTTAACAGGGCGGCACAAAAACTCAGACAGCAAGAGCTGCCAGCAGTTGGCAGTCTTCACATAGCAGCAAGTCTTTGCTTAAGTGTTTGGTACTTTTTTAAAGTTCATTTAAAGCAATAATGAGGGAAAAAATTGGCTAAGCTTCTCTGTTTTCTTTTGCCATCATCCCATATTTAATGAAAATAGGCCAAGCAGTCATTATCAGGAAGGTTCTCGTTCATACTCATCAGCAGCCCCACAATGGTTGTACACTTTATCAGATGTATGCATTTACCTTATTTTTGTTGCAGTGGATTATGGTTCTATTCAAACTGCTGCTTATGAAACAGTCTCGTCTGTTGCGGTTCATGCGTCTTGTTCTGAGTTCTGGATGTTTGAGAAGCGAGTCTTTTGAACGCCTCCTCACCGCTTACCTTTCCTTTTTTGGCTCGTCTTCTCAGATCGGAGCTCTGATCAAGCCATTACTTGGCAAGAGCGGCCCTAAATATTTAAAAATAATATACTTTTTAAGAGTGATCTGTTTTCATTCATTTATCTCGTTTGCAGAAAGCAGAAATTTCTAAATTTAAAAACTGTCCCCAAACTGAACCCGCAGCTTTTGATGGCTCAGTCTGCGAGCGTATTTTTAAGTTCCGTCTGTCTGAATTCCTCTTCAGATCTCATCCTGTCACTTAATGCTTAAATATAAACTTACCCAGATCAAGTACTATTACCATCAGCACCGGGACATTATGCAATAATCCACCTCCTATCCCTCCCCGTGGAAGCAGACAGAAATAGCCCAAAGACTAATTTAGAAACAGACCTGAACTTCACCTGCGTCTAAAAATATTGACAGCGGATTGAAAACACGTCTGAAAACCGGTGACCAAAGCTCCCTTAGAGGAGACAGAGTTTGATGCTTGTGTGTGTGTAGTGCAGGTGAAAGCAGCCACACAGTCGAGAACCCTAAGTGTGGAAATGGGAGCCACGTCAAAAATAGTTCATTTTGTGACAGGAAGGAAGAGGTTGATGGATGGAGAGAGGGAGAAAATGAGCAGAAGTCTGTGGAGTGGAGAGCCGAGCGAGGACAGCGAGCATTCAATCCGCTCGGATTGACAAGTCGAGGAATGCCCCAAAATAGCCCCGCGTTGTTTTCCAACCCAGATAACTCAAATTATTCTTCAAATAGCATTTTCCTATTTCAGTGGCTGTGAATGCCAAGTTTTCTTTTTGTGGGATAAGAGCCAAAAAAGAAAGGAAAAAAAAAAAAAGAAAAGCTTTGTGTGCTAATTGCCCCTCCAGCACCGAGGACGCAGGACAGAGAAACGTCTGTTCGCGGTGAAGCTAAAAACAGTGTCAAGTGATGCATTGTAATCCCTGTTGTAGGAGCGGAGCTTGTGCAGATACGCTCAGGCTGGCAGGATGTTTGCCAGGTACAGCGACATGTGCCAGTGCTGGTGTCTCTGAGGTCCTATTAGCATTATATTCAATTTACTCCTCGTAAGTTTTAAAATATTTCGACTCTGGACGTATCGGCACAGCATCCAAATTCTAAGCTGTATGTATGTGTAGTGTTGTGAGGAAGTGATTAAAATTGAATGTTCTCACAATGTGTGCATTGTAAGCATACACACTGTATACATGTATTATTAAAACTGAAAGGAAAAGATGCCTCAGGCTGTAAAGTTACAGCTGAACCGGATGAATTATTAAGTTTAAAAAAAGCATTAAAACAAATAGAACCTGCGGGCCTTGAGCCTTAACCGTCAGCAACAAGCACAACATTTAATATTAGTTTGTCAGAGCGGTGTAGAACGACCAAAACAAGAATGAACAACCACCCTTGTTTTGTTCCAAATGATCAGAATAGTCCCTGACATTTAGTTTGCAGATGGTGCAGCGATACCAATTACTGCCCTTAGCTTGACCATTCCTACATGGGCTTGAAATCCCATCAGAACACGCTGTCCTGCTCACGCCATCCCTCTCAGCCCTTCTACTAATTATAGAAAAAAATTTGAAGCAGAGTACAATGGCTGCTTCCAACACTGGGACAAAGCTGATTGAAGACAGAACGGTCCCCACACGAGGCCGGGCAGCTCGAGTAGAGGAGAAAAAAAAATAAAAAATGGAGTAATGCTAGTTAAAAAAGAAAGCAGGGAGAGTAAAAGGCTGTAGCTGCGAGCTCAAGAGGAGATAAGTGGCCACTAGTGATGAAGGAAAGGTAGAGAGCTGGACACAGTAATGGCAAATAAGAGCAAATGAGAGAGAGAGAGAGAGAGAGAGCGGGCGACCGGCGAAAATAAATGGATGCATGATACATGTAGGAGGAGGGTGATGGATATCAGCTCGGCTAAAGATACACAGATCTTTAGATTGATCTCTAAAGGGGGGAGGATGAAGAGCAATATATACGGTACATGCCGCCGAGAATGAGATACAGGGAGCAGGAATAGATGGAGAGATAGACGGGCCGTCTGCTGAGAGGTGGAATGACCCGATGTACCTGTTAGGATGACTCATGTCACATCGATTTCTCTGTTCATCGGCAAGCTGCAGCGCAAGTTTGTGGGTGTGCGCTCGCTTGTAGATGTCGGTTATATGTATAGACGGAGGAGAGAAAGAGATTGGACGTATGTAGGGATGTACATGATGTACATGCGTGTACATCCTGTGAGCCCTGCTGGATAAACAGGACCTTATGACGCCGCTAATGGACTTAACGTTAAGAGGATGAAGTCCACAGAGACGGGGTTTGTGTTTTTGTTTTTTCTCCTCCAACTAGAGCCTCAACCAGAGTTGGGGAAGGGAAAAACTGGAGTGTTACGTTCAGTCACTACAGGTGGAAACTAAAAAAGAAACACAGTTCTCAGTGTTGTCTGTTTGTCTCTAACATGAACAAAACTTTACGTACATCAGTGAAGACCAGTGAAGTCCTGGCAGTCCTGAGTTTCCAGTGACTCCTTGAACTCTTCATTTCTTTGTCACATAGGCTAATCATGCATTATGGTTTTTTAATAGATTTATTACAGGTCTTCTGGAAATATGACAAAACCTGCAGAGTCAAAAATATCCACACAGAAATGCTAATATTAGGCCAGCTGTCCTTTAGCCATCTTCACCTCAATTAGGTGCTTTTTTGTGGCCGCCTAAAAGCTTCCAGTTGTACCTTTGACTTCTCCTCTTGACAGAATTGGAGCAGTTTAGCTAAATTCGTTGCCCTTCTGACACAGACCGGTTTCTTTATCGCAGTCGACAGCTTCTTGATGGGGTTTAAGTCAAGACGTTAAGGAGGCCGGTCGGTCTAAAACCACAGAAACTACGTGAGCATTTCTGCTGCTTCGTCCAGTAATATCACTCTGCTGTAATAAAACACAACTTTTGAACTTTCGTTGGTAAAATAAATGAAGGACTGTGGGTGTGACTGAGCCTAGAAATCATTGCATAGCCTTAAACTAATAGAAATGTATGTGTTTAAGTCTGAATTTCAAACCTTGGCAGGCTTAGTTCGATAAATACTAATATAATAATAGCAGAGTTTATGGATGTTATGTGTTATTACAAATCTGCAGCTTCTGACCTTCTGATATGATGTCCAGTTCATTACCTCCTGTCGAAGCGTTTGTTAATTTGATCGTGTCATTTATTCACCAGAGCTACTGCACACGCAACTCTGTGTCCTGTTGGTTTGCTTCTGTAAAAGACATCAGATATTGTGTTCAGCCTCTTTGTGTTTCTGTAAAAGCGGTTTTGTTTAACTACCTTCAGTCATACATTTAGTTTGACGAGTTGGTGACAACGCTCCAGAAGGTTAGCGGCTAACGTGTCCAGTTTTCACCATAAATCTTTAAAAGCCTTTTTTCCAGTGTTTATGGTGGTTAGTTGCAGACTTTCTGCTACTGTTTGGGAAAACTGTTGCGCCATTTAAACACACCGACCACATTCAGGCGTCTCTTGTAGCTTTATACGTCGTTGTAGCCTTGTGTTTTTTTCCCCCTACGTCGCCGTGATGATTGAACATCGCCGCAAAAGTTGAATTATTAATCGAGTTTGTCTGAAAGCTCCTCTCGTCTTCTCTGTTTCTTGCAGATCTGCTCCCAGCTGAGTGAACGATTAGAGAAACAACAGACAGCCAACCGAGGAGAGCTGGAGAAGATCCGGGTGAGTTTAACGAACGCTGCATTTCAACACATGCTGGAGATTAACATCCAGCGGATCTTAATTATGTGGAACTGCAGAGGAGTTTGTTCGACTTTTTCTCCTCATCTGCCGTCGGATTGATGGTTAGTCGTCATCAGATGGGTCAAAAGCAGCTGATGACTCACAAAATGAGACGTAAAACATAAACAGAAGAGTTACTGTCCTGATAATTGAGTTGCGTTTTAAATTAGAAATGTCACCGCCCTCCTCGTCACCTTCACGGCCTGAAACGCACACAACAGGTTTGACCTCTGGCCCCGGAGCTGGCAGGCGTCTTGAGAACTGCGTTGCCATCTCATTGTCTTTACTGGCAGCGAAATCAAAGCATTTCAGGGAAGAACGAGGAGCGAGGCCAAGGAGCCACGGCCAGGCACCTGACTTCCAGCACTTGCACGCTTGGCTCGCTAACTGTTAGTTTAGACTGTAGCTGGGAGAGCGGCCATTTTGGCAGAAAGTTGTGCGAGGGCTGCCCAAGGACTCGCAAAAAAAGGTTTATTGCACCAAGGACGAGTTCTGTAAAGGACGCAGCAGGAACGCTGTGTTTATGTGTCGAGGTTTACAATTTGCTCTTTTGCTTTTTTTTCCTCCTTCCTTTTTCTTATTTACTCATATTGACGCAGCGATTCAATTAACTGTCAGCAGTTGCACTTATAGCTGATGTAGGCGACCCCTGATGTGCAGCGACAGCATAATTCTCAGTTACAGCAGTTTAAATGAGAGATTTTTGCACAACATGCTTACATATTGTTTCGCTAAAACTCTATTTAAAGTGACAACAGAAACAATCGCAGCTCAAGCGCTCGGCTGCTTCATTAGGGCTCTCATCCACTCGAGCGGCGACGAGAGCAGAAGCGTTGAGCGTAATTACTCTTCAGCTCGAAAACTCGCTCGACAGTTTAATCCAAACCAAATGCGATATTGTAATGAATCATTTCTTTTTTTTTTTGAGGAAAAGCTCACACTACGGGCGTCGACTTTAAAGCAGAAACTTGTTGCTGCAAACTCCGGCACTAATCTGTCTCCGATAATCTCAGAGGAGTCAACCTACTAGTCTGGTTGCCGTGAGCCAAACTTAGAAAGCGAAGGAGCGAGCATTCTTCTTACCGTGGCTCAACAGACTTCCTCCACCTGCAGCGAGACGAGCGCCTAAATAAATAAACGCTCGCAAACGATGAATAAGTAAAAGTTCCTGAACGGGACGCAGGTTGTATCTGCGATGTTCTGCTGCTGCCCGGTAATAGCTCATCTCGTACACCCAGAACGAGCTCTTTGACTGAATGCAGAGTGGAGCGCAGCCCCCGACACAAGCGGGAACACACAGTTGGCTTGTGTGGCCACTATACTAATGAGCTGCCATGCCTCGCTAGCTAAACACAACACTGTCTCCTCTGGCGTTGTAATAAACATCTCCGCTGCTAGAAGACAGCCGGGGCCACACGGAGCCCGAAATATCTGCATCGGTCCGGTTGGCACATTCTGCTATTCCATTTTTTCTTTTTTGGACTTTCTACATTTAGAGTTTTGTTTTTTCTCACACGTCTGCCTAAAGTCAATACTTCCTCCAAACTCTGACTAAACTGGAGCTTGTTGGTGTCACTTTTATGCACTGGCCTACATCTTATCTGACCTGGAGGATCTGCCTTTTTTTTGTTGCCTCGGTGACAGCTAAAGCCAGAGGCGGTTTTCTGTTCATCCTATTCTTGTAATTGTGATATCTCAAGAGCACCTTGAGGGGGTTTTCCTCAAATTTGGCACAAAAATTTACTTGAATTAAAGGCTGAACTTTTGAGATTCTGCTGATCAGAGGTCACCGCCACCTCAAGAAATCGTGCACTAATTACGGCAGAATTTCTCATAAACGTCTCCTCAGGAAAAAGGATAACGCGCTGACATTTATATCCAAAAGGTCAACTTCACTAAGACATCATAATATTCTGCAAACACCCCCCTTTTTTTTCCCATCATAACTCAAGAACAGAAACAAGATCCTGAGGAGTAGCTTTGGCCGCTTGCCTTGAAACCGATTTTTGTAGATCACTGACAGGTTTAAGATGCAAAAGAAGCATCAAGGTTTTAGATTCTGTTGCTTCTTTGCAGGTGTGATCATGTTTGAAGCATTGCCTGCTGCAGTTGTTGTCAAACTGGGGGGGCAGCATGGAGCCGCTGCAGAGGAAGCATGGATGACTGGACCGAAAATATGCAATGAAATTCAGTTAAATAAACATGATTTAATAAAATATGTCAAGAAAATAGACAAGAAAGAGTTTGCTGATGCTATTGCATCGACGTTTATTTCACTAAAATTCAACTTTGATCCTCTTTTATGACTTCCTTCCTCT